TTAATATATTTTGAATACTAGTCAGTTGGAACAAACCATCTCTATTTGTTCATCTATCGAACAAACCAAGTTCATTTTCATACTCCTAATGTTGGCAACAGTTCTTGGTTTACCCGCCATTGTTTCCGTTTGCAACCATGTTCAAACCGTTGCATAAAGTGTGTCGACCTGTTCGTGTGTTTGGCGTTTTAAATAAATAAGTTTAATGTCAGTTATTATAATAAACTTAGAATTTAGTAAAAAGTTTTTATATACTAGTAATTCTGTGCAAGTGTTTTGATATTGCACAATAACTTTGTCTGTGATTGTTTATATATCTATAAGACGTGTAAAAAGATGACAATAAATGGCTATTTTTTGGACTTTTAGAAAAATCAAAATGGAGTTTGTATCTGTAAAGAAGGTTAGTGTTAGTTTTAATTTTATTAATATTGATAATCATGATAAAAAGTACATTTTAAGAACCGAATGCATGTTATGCATTTATTTCTGTACACTTTTGTGTAGTGACAGCTAATTTTGTACAATTGTTGAATCCTTTTGCGAATTCTAAGAACACTTATGTTTTGATGAAATGTTTTAATGCTAAATTGTTTTTTGGTTGTTGAATATACATTTCAATGTGGGTTGTCAAAGAAGTTGTAAGATCTTGTTTAACTTGATCATTTTGCGTTATTCGTGCTCTTTATGATGATGTCATTATTGATACTAATTCGTATGATACTATTATAAGATTGTAAATTTAACAACGCCTCAACAATGACACTATTAATAAAAAATTAATGATTACTTACTCGAGGTGGAGGCTTTTCAACTAAAAGGCTGTTTATGAATGTGGCATCTCGAATGAACTTTGAGATTTTATTTCATTCGATATCCTCGTTTATGGAAAACATAAGATTCTTTAGGAAAATACAACCTATCTAGTAAATGTGGGATGTCAAAGAAGTTGCAAGATCTTGTTTAGTTTGATCATTTTGTTAAATTTATAATTGTTTAATTGTATTATACTATAATGTTTTGATAATTACTTACTCAAGGTGGCAAACTTCTCTACCCCGTACTTTTCTACTATAAGACTCTGTCTGAATGTGTCTCATCTCGGATGGACTTTGAGATTTTATTTTATTCGACATCCTCGTTTATGGAAAACATAAGATTTTTTAGGATCTACTTTTCTACAACTAACTAGTAAATGTGGAAAGTTGTAAGATCTTGTTTAGTTTGATCATTTTGCTAAATTTATAATTTTTTATTTGTATCATACTTATGTTTTGGTAATTATTTACTCAAGGTGGAAAACTTTTCCCTCTTGTCTACTATAAGGCTGTTTCTGAATGTGTCATCTCGAATGAACTTTGGGATTTTATTTTATTCGACATCCTCATTGTTCATGGATAACATGCCTTAAAATCTACTATTTTACGAAGGTACAAACTAACTAGTTAGATTTATAGAGGTGTGTATTTGCATTTACAATCATTAAATTATATTATAATAATATGCATAAATTGCTTGATGTGCAAACTTTTTATAACATATCTTGAATCTCGAATATGATTTCTGGTTTGATTAGAGTTCTTCGTTTACACATTGTGCACAAAAATGCTCTTTCGTAAGAGTGTGGTTTATCAAAAATGGCTTTTGTAGGAAAGCTAATTATTGCAAAGCATTTTAAATAACATTCATGTCTTTGTTTATCTCAGCGAAGATCTCAGATTCTTATAAATGAATATTGAATGGTTAAAGACTAGATTCCTTTTCTAATCTTTAATTTTTTAAGCTCTAATTTTTAATAATTTTTTTAGCAAACAGGACACTAGAAGATTCATCTGTGAATTTTTTATGTTTTGTTTGTCTGTCGAAAGAAAATTTAGTATTCAATTCAGCTTTTTATAATAGAGAGTAGATAAATTACATACATTTTTTTTGCTAAATAGAAAAATTCTTATAATATATCCTGTATTCTGAGTGTAGCATCTTAAAAAAATCTAGATTTCTTGTTAGATTCTCTTTCTTTTTGAAATACTCTTTCTTTGGCTTATAAAAGATGATTTTAGTAAGAAGTCTAAGTCATAAAATTTTTTGTGCCATTCAGAGGGCTTTTTTACCCCAAGGAGGTAAAATTAAAAAATTAGGTAATTCCTTAAGTACTTTACATGTCCACAATGCAAAATTATTTAATGAATTGATGGAAAACTTTATCACAACAATAACATGTCCTAAAAAAGCTAGTTGTACATCCTTGATCACATACTGTTCACAGAAATGCTCTTTCATCAGGAAGAAGCTCCTAAAAGGATTTTTGTAAGGAAGTATTTTGTAAAAAAGATGGTTAGCCTTGTCAGAAGGAGTTCAAAGTTTTTTGTGCACCAAGCAGGATTTTTTATGCCATTCAAAGGGCTTTTTTTACCCCAAAGAGAATCCTTAGGTAGTTCACCAAGTCTTTTCCATTTGCACAATGCAAAATCATATTTAATAAATATTCAGAAAAAGCTAATTTTACATCCTTGATCACACATTGTTCACAGAAATGCTCTTTCTTCAGGATTCAGTTCCTGAAGGTTTTTGTAAGAAAGTAATTTGTAAATACATGGTTAGTTCAAGGTTTTCTTCACACCGAAGAGGATTTTTACCATCTAAAATTATATGATAAACGGTTCACAAAAGACAACTTGTATCAAAAAGCCACATTTGCAAAAATATTGGCATTTGTCAGAAGACCTAATTACAATAATTACATTTTCTATAAAAGCTACGACAATAACATTTTACATTCTTGATCACAGGTTGTTCCAAGAAATACTTCTTCACTAAAATGCAGGTCAAAAACGATGTCTAATTATTGGAGAGTATTTTATATGCCATCAAGATCTTTCTTTAAACCAAAAAGGACTTCAACCATGTAAAATTGTTTGATAACTGGTTCACAAATTATTACTTTTAATAGAAGTCCTAACATTTCCTAGAAAAGATAAATTAAAATATTAAAATATATAACACCAAAAATGATCTTATTTAGAAACCTTTATTAGGCATCTTATAAATTTAACAAATTTATTATAAAATATTGAAGGAAATATCAAATGCACAAGCAATAAGTGGCAACATTCTTTAAATGCACTCCTTTATATAAGTATTTTTAATTCATTTTTAATTCATCATATCAAGTTTATTCAGCATTCGCACTTTGCATATAGTCTGTATATTTTTTCAACTGCGTTTGGTACAACTTTTGCAATTTCTTAAGTTGCCCTTTACTCAATTCCTTCCCTTCATGATCATGTGTGGGTATTCCTTCATCATCAAACTTACTATACTTATCAGTTTCTGATTTGAACATTTCTTTTGGATTAATTTTACTCTGAGCTTCCCTCTGAGCTTTGAGTTGTTCCTGTAATAATTTTTGCTCAGCTTTCTTCTTTTTTTGTTCCTCTTCCAACCTTAATTTTTCCTCACGTTCCCTCATCAGCACCTCTTTGCCAACTACTTTTACAGCACTGGGTGCTCCTTCTCGGTCTTCTAATCTGATACCTAACTCTGGCAGTGTGTCATCTCTTAAACGGTCACATAATTGTAGTAAGTTCTTGGCTTTGAGAAGTTTGGCTTCGTCTCTTACGTTGTCTCTGAATTCTGCAAGTGCTGTTAGATATGGCATAATTGTGGATTCCAAATCAACACTTTCACCATCTCCTCCACCTGATAAAGGAAAGCCTATGCCTCCTCTGGGGCCTTTGATGGCACCAAAAATGTGGAAGATGTCGGTCACATATTCAGCAATTCGCCTGGGAGAAATCAATCAAATCAAAATTAGAAATCAAACTTGCAAGGGGGAGAAGAATCTTATGAATTGCTTTATTCTTTTACTCACCTCAACAACATAGCGTGCAAACTGCCAAACTTGCAGGATTTAATATAATTATTAGTAGTTGATATCAAATCCCTTATCACTCCTAAGGCAGCCCTGGTATCAATATTATCACATAAAGCTGCATGCACAGCCTGCTGTGCACTTGCAAATTTTCCCTGCAAATCATTTGCAAGACCATCCCACGTGTTGAAGCAATTCTTGGCTCACAAGTTGTAATATGCCTGGTTAAATCTTTTACATTGAGGAAGAATTCATTGAGCATTTTTTCATAACCCACGGCCATCTCCATAGTGTTATCACTGTAGTCCAGGGTGTCTTTCCAACTGTGCAACAAAAATGCTAAGCGCAACTGTGTTGCTGTATGCCTTGATAAAGCTTGTTCAATGGTGATAAAGTTTTTGAGACTTTTGGACATCTTGCAACCGGCAATTGTAAGGTGACCAGTGTGCAGGAAATATTTGACCCAATCAGCATTTCCATAATAAGCTTCGCTTTGTGCTAGTTCGTTGTCATGATGTGGAAACTTCAAATCAACACCACCTAAAATTATGCGGTTTTAGTACAAAAATTGCTAAAGACTATTTTAATTTTTGAAGTAAAACTTCTTTAGGCGCGACATGGGTGTAAATCGACATGGGTGTAAAGTAATCGCTTGCAACTATCACAATTATTCAATCTAGTCTGCGAGCAAAATAAAAAATACATCAAATGTCAAATCATATGTCAAAAACAAAACAAAATGTGTCGACTTTCACTTGAGTTTTGTATTTAGCTCGTAGTCTCTGAGCATTTTTTGAAGTAAAACTTCTTTAGGCGCGACATGGGTTAGCAGTATAATTCGTGAGTTAATAAAAATGTCAGGATCGGAAGAATATTTTATCCCGTCCCCCATAAATAATTGTAGTGCAAATGATCGCAAATAATGAAACTAAGAAAAATCTGCGCTGCGTAAGAAATGATAGCTTTGGCTATGTATGTTTTGTGTGTGATCGACTTTGGCTTCAAAGAGACTTAGAAATATAAAATGATGCTCAAAAACAAATTCTTAATGTTTTTTGGAATATTGATTCAAATAATCAGGTTGGATGTCAAACTTGTCGAAAGATATTAAATTCGGGTAAAATTCCCACTTTGTGTAAGTTTAACGGGTTTGTATTTCCACCTATACCAAATTATCTACCTAAACTAGATACTGTATCTGAAAGGTTAATTTCACCTAGGTTGTGTTTCATGCAAATTAGACGATTGCGACATGCAAATGGACAATTTGGAATGTTTGGCCAAATTATAAATGTGCCTGTTGACATTAATAATATGGTTAATTTATTACCTCGTAATATTGATGATCATTGCATTAACATTCACATAAAAAAGCAAATGATTCATAGATCAAGCTATGTGCAGGGCTTGATAAATAAAACAAATATAAAAGTATGGCTTCAATTTGTTAGGCAAGACGGATATTACGGCTGTTCAAGGAATGAGATTATATCGTCAGCGAAAAAGTAAAAAAATACAAACAGTAAATGTATGTATGTTAATTTTAATTACATGAAGTTCTTCAAACACAATTGTTACAGGATGAGTTAATTTGCAAAAACAATATTTGTTTAGGCGTTGTTTAACATAATCCACTGTGTGAACGAATATTACGGCTGTTCAAGGAATGAGATTATATCGTCAGCGAAAAAGTAAAAAAATACAAACAGTAAATGTATGTATGTTAATTTTAATTACATGAAGTTCTTCAAACACAATTGTTACAGGATGAGTTAATTTGCAAAAACAATATTTGTTTAGGCGTTGTTTAACATAATCCACTGTGTGAACGAATATTACAGAATTTATTAATCAGCAATTACTTTAAAACGATCATGTCATATTTCAAGCATGACTTTGATTACATTATTGTTTGTAAATATTATACATATTTTTAATGCTATTAGAAATATATAATTTATAATTTATCATTATATAAATGAGTATAATGATTGACGACACTAATAAATGTGTGCATCACGAGTGTTACCATATTACTAATAAACATTATTCAAAATTTTTATATGATGTATTTATTTTTACTCAACATAAATTTGCTACTTTATACAGTAGTTTTACTTCAATCGCGTACTCTTTTTTTTTTACCTGTATGAATATCAATTTGTGGTCCCAAAACATCACTAGCCATTGCGGAGCACTCAATATGCCACCCAGGTCGTCCTTTACCCCAAGGAGAGTCCCAAGACGGTTCACCAACTCTGCTGCATTTCCACAATGCAAAATCATTTGGAGAACGCTTCTCAGTTAACCGATCTGCTGTAGAAGATAAATCACCTTCAGCTTCGTTTATTGCACTTGTATCACCATAAGCCTCCGGTACTAATTTAGCATAATGGTGTTTATCAATTTTATCAAAACCTCCTACATCAAAATAAACAGAACTGTTGACTTCATACCCTAGACCATTTTCTATGATTTTTTGGATGTAAGCTACAATCTGTGGAACGTATTCACTGACTCTGGTTAAAACATCGGGGTAGAGTACGTTAAGGTTTTTCATGTCTTCATGGAATCTATCTTCCCAGTAACTTGGAAGCTCGTTGAAGATTTTATTGTCGGTTATGTCTGCTCCAAACTTTTTGTCCAACCAGTCTGATAAAGGTTCACGTGCATTTTGGATGCACTCCAAAACTGCAGGAGAAGTTGATTGTAAATCAGACTTGGTTTCTACCAGTTTTGCTATATTGTTCACAGCCTCAGTAGCCTTGTTAAGAGATGTTTCTAGCATCACATTTTTATCAGGATCGGTATTGGAAGTTACCTTTACCTTGAAGTCATCTAAAGCTTCTTTCAAATCACTTAAGACTTGAGCAAGAGGTTTGTTGGTGGACGAGTAATTTTTAAACAAATGTGTATGTCTGGCTCGTTTAATAATTTTATCATCTATATCAGTGATATTCATTACATACAAAATGTTATATCCAAAATAATTGGATAAAACACGTCTTAGAATATCAAAGGATATGTAAGACCTAGCGTGCCCCATATGGGAGGCATCATAAACAGTCGGTCCACAACTGTACCAAGTCACTTGTTGTCCATTTATAGGCACAAATATTTCTTTTTTCCTCGTTAGACTGTTGTACAATCTTAAAACAGGAGCATCTTCACCCACACATGGCGGTGCCCAATTGGGTTGGACACGTTTTGCCATTATTTAATAAGATGGAAATAAATTTACAAATTTATTTGAACCGCCTGGAACAACTGGTGACGTTGATGCAAACGTAATTATTTATATTATGATGCAATAAGCATTTATAGTAGACAAAACGTTGTCCATGTACATAACCTGAAAGGAGCACATCAACTGTCAATGTCATTTTGAACCGTTGTGAAGTTGTACCCACGATGATAAAAATTTAAAAAGCGCGTTGTTTAAATTTACTTCAACTAGGATTTAATATAATAAAGTTTACTTTTACGTAATCCTAGGTGTAAGTGGCATTGTGCCTTAAGACAAATGTATAAACTAACTAAAAATAATTAACTAATGGGGTGCATGGCATCGTGCTTTAAGGCAAATTCCTGGAACTTCCCGTACCGTAATTAAAAATCTTGGTACGGTATCCAAAAAAATTTACACAAAATGTGTACACATTATTAAAATCTCTATAAAATATCTGATAATTTAATGTACATATCTCCAATAAACATTTTTAACCGCCAAATGATATTTTTTAAATTTATTTTTATTGAGAGTCCATAACCGCTGGACCTGCCTTCCCAAAAATTTAATCAGTTTTTCATCTTGTCAATACAAGTCAAATGTTTTTTGAATTATTAAAATCGAACGCTCCGTTCTCTTAAAAACTGAGTTACCTTTTTTGGCACTTTTTGCCCCGCATCTTCGGAACGGCTAGACCTGCCTTTGCCAAAAACTAATTAGCACGTCTCATTATCAATACGAATCGAATGTTTTTTGAATTATTCAAATCGGATGATCAGTATTCCCGAAATCGTCGACGAAAATTTGTATCCGCACACTCACACACACACACGCAAATCTATTTTTTTTAAGGTATGTCAAAATATTCAGATACCTTTGAAACGTAAAGATACTATTTTCGAATAAAAACGAAAAACGTGGAATTTGTATATAAAAAAAAATGAATACTTAAATAATCATTAATTAATTTCTTTATATTGTAATTTAAGCACCGAAGTATTTAAAGAAATATATCAGCGGAATTTCAAATTAGATTGATAGAAAACTGAAGAGGACGCTTCAACGTACTTTTTTTTTAATTTATGTTTATTTTTCTACTGCGTTTTTTAACGTTTATTAACATTTGAGAACCATGTGAAAACCATAATTTATTTGAAAAGAGGCGCCACTTGTTAATTATCAACGTGGTTTGATTGATGTCTCATCTTTTTAAAAGCATTACTCTATGCTTCACTTCACATGTCAAATTATGAATAAAATTTTATTTGAAATCATTTATCATATAGTAAGAGCTTGTTGATTAAAGTAGATTATTATTTAGTATACGAATAGTTTTTAAATATTTCGTGAGTGTAAAATATTCAAAAATGTCGGAAGAAACATTTAAGTCTATGAATGATCAGGCAATTATTAAAATTGAACCACCAGAATATCCAGTAGAAGACATTAAACGCGAAAATGATGATGAATTTGATGTACTTGATATATCTATCGTTAAATCTGAATCATTTTCTGAAGACGATGACACGTGTTTAGAAAGATTCATGAAATCCGAGGTGACAATTGAAGATAAAGTCAAACAGGAGTCTTTTGATTGTGAAATTTGCAATCAATCATTTGCAGAATCCCATCATCTAACAAAACATATGGTCAACCACATGCCTAAGCGTAGCAAAGAACGTCCTTACAAATGTGGAATCTGCCCAAAGACTTTCAATCAATCAAGAGGGTTGAACACACACATGGTCATTCATAGTGGTGAGCGTCCACATAAATGCAATGAATGCAATAAGGCATTCATATCTGTAACTCATCTGAAAACTCACATGCTGATTCACAATGGTAAGCGTTCCCATGAGTGCAAGGAATGCAATAAAACATTCATACAAACAAGTCATCTGAAAACTCACATGCTCACTCATAGTGATAAGCGCCCTCATGAGTGCAGTATATGCAAGAAGTCCTTTACACAAGCACATCATCTGAAAAGTCACATGCTCGTTCACGCTGGTGAGCGTCCCTATGAATGCAGTATGTGCAAGAAGACATTCACATATTCAAGTAGTCTGAAAAGGCACATGCTCATTCACAGTGGTGAACGCCCCCATGAGTGCAGTATATGTAATAAAAGATTTACACAATCAAGTAGTCTGAAGAAGCACATGCTGATTCATAACAGAGAGCATCTTTATAAATGTTAAATATGCCACAAGACATTCACACGATTAGGAGACTTCAAACGGCACATGCTTATTCATAAAGGAGTGCGTTGCAAATGTTAAATATGCAATAAGAAATTCAATCAATTAGGCAATTTAAATCAGGCATAGTCGGGAGCGTGGTGAAAATCAATGAATCTAAACATATCTGTTAAATTGAATTTAAAATATTTGTCATAAAATATTCTTCCATGTAATGTACAAATAGTCTGAAATATACAGTAAACATTAGATAATATGCATTTATTGCTAATCCAGGCAATTGTTATATATTATATTATTTTATAAATTTTGTTTTTTTGTATTTTGATTTTTATATGATAAGTATTAAATCGGATGCTCCGTTATCTTAAAAACTGAGTTACCGTTTTTGGCACTTTTTGCCCCGTATCTTCGGAACGGCTAGACCTGCCTTCGTCCAAAACTAATCAGCACGTTTCCTTATCAATACGAATCGAATGTTTTTTGAATTATTCAAATCGGATGATCGGTATTCCCGAAATCGTCCACGAAAATGTATATCCGCACACACATACATTCATTTTTTCTAAGATATGCCAAAATATTGAGAAACCTTTGAAACGTAAAGATATATAAATTTTTTTTCGAAAATATAAGAAATCTCTAAAAAAAAATTTTTTTTTTAAGTTCTAAAAAAAATTGATTATTTTTAAAACTTTTATTTTTGGTACGGGAAGTTCCAGCAATTTGCCTTGAGGCACTATGCCATGCGCCACTAGTTTGCCTATATTTGCTAATGTCTTCTGCTAGTTATAGCCGATATTCACAAAAAACTAATTATAGGGAGTCTTGTACAAATCTGTACAATGTCGAAGAAAGGCCAAATTCTGACTCAAACACACATTTTTTGTAATTCTGGTAATATAAGATTCAGAATGACTTGAAATATCATAAGATTATAAAATTAGCAAATCGGATTTTCTGGTGAAAACATAAAATTCTCTTTCGGGAAGTTAATAATAAGCAACTATTGCAAAATTGAAAAATCAGGAAAGAGATTGATCAGGATGAACTTTATTGCTAGTAAATAAATATTTTACAAACTGTAAGTTAATATTTTACTATTTGGAATAATAAAAGAATAAAACCACTTATTTTATCTCTCAATTTTAATTTATCTTACCAAAAATAGCAAGTTAGTTTTTTTTTTGGCAAGAACTTTTACTTTGGCAAGACAGTAAGACAGCGTATTTAACACTAGAAAGACGGACGCAGTCATTTTGATTGTTTTACATTTTCAAACATAAAAATAACTATGTATTTGAAGTCGCAGCTTCATGAAATTTGGTGACTTTTTATACAACATATAAATGCGTAGATAAATCGTATTATTTGCCTTATCTCACTTTTATTTTCAATATTCTTACATGTTATGCCTGCATGGACGGAAAACAGTCATTTTGACTGCTATAGAAATTTTACATAAACAAACGACTTTGTTATTGTATTGCAAATCGTTATCTAGCGTTTATTCATCTCAAATGCGTGATAATGCATTTGTTACATAGAAATAATCGAATTATGGTAAGTATTGACATTAGACCGGTTTTTTTCACGTAGTAACTTTCAGTATAACGCGTTGTTCAGTTGATTTTTTAGAACATATGAATAAAATGTCGAAGGAAAGTGAATTATTGCAAAAGCTAACAAACATAAGTGAAGAGTGTTCCGACATAGAATCAAATGCAGAAAATTGCGCACAACCATCTGAAGATGAATCGGATTATATTCCACGTGAATCATCTGATTCTGAGGGTAGCGATGAAGGTGATCACTATTGATGAAAATGAAAGTGCCATCAGTGTATGCAGGAGGGTGCTAAGTGGCTCAGAAACTGATGAAAGAATTCAAGAAACAAAAACAGCTGTCGATGGTACTGTATGGACAAAAATTGCCGAAGGTGGTACTCCAGGAAGGTCATCATCTAATTGTGTTTTCAAGGGTGTGAAAGGGCCAACAAGCTATGCAAAAAAGAATATTATTACAGGTGATCTCGTCAGTGCATTTTCGTTGGTAATAGATAATTATATTATCAAGCACATAAAACAGTGCACAGAAGAAGAGGGCAGTCGAATTTTGGGGTACGATTGGACAACATCATTACCGGAAATACGTGCATTTATTGGAATTTTATATGTCTCGTGGGGCCTATGAGGCAAAAAATTTGAAAGTGACTTATTTATGGTCAGCAAAGAAGATATGACAGATCAAAGGTAATGAAAATATACCGTGAAATCCAGTTTACGTAGGTGACCCCTGCAAATATTTTTCAATACTTTGGATTTGGCTGCGATAAATGCCTGGATGATTCTTTACAAGAAAGCGACAGGAATAAAATTCCAAAGAAAACAAATCCTGAAAGAACAGTTTTTGTTTGAATTGGCAGAACAGCTTTCCGCGGACTACACGACATCAACACAAAAAAAATCAAAGAAAAATGATGAGCCACAGATATCATGCAAATAACAATAGTAATAAAAGAAAATTTTGCCAGATAAGACTTTGTAATAATAATAAAACTAATAATACGTGTCAAAGTTGCAACAAATATGTTTGCGGAAAATGTACTCAAAAAAAGATCTCAAATTATATTTGCATGAATTGTAAAAATAATGAACTTTTTTTTCAGATGAACTATTTTTTTTATTTTTAGCACTTATAGATAATTTGTATAAATGTAAATAGTACATAAAATAATAAAAATTAATTTTAAACAAATTTCTAAACGCATTATTTATTTTTTCACGACGCAGTCATTTTGACTGTTTTTCAGGCTATGTAGGTATACTCAATTCGTCCGTCTTTCTAGTGTTAAAGACTTTGATTAAGATCTTTCTTCTTTAAGTCCTAAGTATGATATTATAAAGTTATTGGCTCAAAGAACAAAACAACAAAAATATTCTCATTTTTTTTATTTCAAAAATTTGTTAATGATGGCATTGGAGGAACTATAATATTATGTTTAGAATTCAAATGACTTTTCAAAATACTATTATACCTAAACGATGTACCACAAACATCACATTTATAAGGCAATTCACTACTATGTATCCTCATATGAATAGTTAAATTAGTTTTCCTCTTAAATGATTTATTGCAAACTTCACAAGTGAACGGTCTCTCTTCTGAATGTGTCAATAAATGTTTCTTTAATCCTGCATTAAAATTAAACGAAGCTTTGCAAAGTGTACAAGAATACTTGCGTTCGTTTCTATGTCCTGTCTTATGTTTCGCCAAATTACTACGAGCTGTAAAACATCTCCCACACAAATCACACTTGAATGGAGTTTCTTGAGTATGAGATCTGACATGATTTTTCAAAATGCATTTTTGAGTGAATGAACTTGAGCAGAACTCACAGGTGTATGGACGTTCACCTGTGTGGTTTCTCATGTGGATTTTTAATGAACCGCTTTCTTTGAATGCTTTGGTACATAATTTACATTTATAAGGTCTGAGATCTGCATGTCTTTTTATGTGACCTTTTAGACCGATCATAGTGTCAAAGGATTTGCCACAGATTTCACAAATGTTAGTTACTGCATTTATGCCTGGATAATTTTTGTCTTCATTGTCTGTAGGATTTGGTTGCGGTTCAATTTGATGTTCTGGTGAATTTGGAGTTTCTGCTCTGACTGGTGGAGGTTCGATGTGTTCCAAATTATGTTTGGTTGGTGGAAACTCTTTAGAAACACCAGTTGTTTGATTAACTGTGATTATTATTGTTTCTCCTAAACAAATTAATTTATATAAATATATATACATATATATATATTTGGATTCTTTGTTCGAAGCTCTACAATATATATATAAATATATATATATATATATATATATATATATATATATATATATTACCTTAATACTTACTCTTATTCAAACATCTTTTACCATCTGGTTTCTTCTTTACCGGTGAATTTTTGATACTAACATTTTTATTTACTTGATGCTTCAATTGTGAATTGCTGGCTATACGTTCATCAGATTTTATGCAGAGCTTTTTAAAATTATATGCTATATCCAAATTCTCTAAGCATGTCCTGCAAATTTTATTCGGAAACCCATCTGTGATCTTAATCTGGAAAATAGATACACATAAGAAAAGGTTTTTTTTAATTTATTGAAGTGGATTGATTATAATTACCTTTATGCTCGTGCAGTACAAAATTTTTTGAGGAATAAATTTATTTTTCTCAAATATTGGAATTAAATCTTTAAACTTCATCATACAAACGCGACAAAGGTCTTCATATGATTCAGTATTCATTTTTGAGGTTAGGTTATCAAATTTATTTTAAAAACAGTATGCAATAATATAATTGTTTCATAAAGTTATAATAAAAAAAATTTATTATTAAATAATACTATATTTGTTTGAAAGAATGCCGTAAAGTCGGATTTTTTATAAAAATTTGTTGACAAATAACTTCAGCATTATTTATAACCTCTTCACTGCCAAACTTTTACCTCTAGTTTTCTGTCAGTATTATTGTTTTTTTTTTGGAATGAAATCCAATTTAACAGTTTATAAACCTATGATTCATTTTATATTGAACTGAACTTTATTTATTATATTTTGTATAATAAACACCCCTAAAGGTTAGTTTTAAAGCAGTGGTTGAAATTGACAGTTTTTAAGGCAGTGATTTCCAACCTGTGGGGCGCACCCTCTTAGTCCAGTCATTTCAGCTTTAATTAGGTAAGAATCTCGAAATTTGAGATACCCAGCTGTAAGTCTGTAAATACTTGTATATTGACACTAAAAAGTTGTCTCAAAACCTACACATGGTAGGGTGGGTATCTCAAATTCCGATGTGAACTTACTATTATAACTGGACTATCTAGCCAAGCATCTAGCCAAAAACGAAAAACGTGGAATTTGTATATAAAAAAGAATGAATACTTAAATAATCATTAATTAATTTCTTTATATAGGGAACGGGCAAGCTCTCCTCTAGCGGATTTTAAGTGCAACTTGGATTCCAACAAATATGGCGGATGGCACATTTATGAGTTGAATTTGCTGTCAACTAATATTTGTTTTGACGTAAAACGTGCATTTTTAGGTTAAACATTTAATAATTCATATTTCTTACATATTTTCATCATTTATTTTTTATGATTTTACAATAACAGAGGTAAGAATAATGAAATTCAAAATATAAATTTTGTTTGCTACTACCAATATGCATACTATTTACATTCAGGAAGGATATTCAATCAGAAAAATATTTGAAAGTTCAAAGTTTGAAGAGGCTTTAGTAAATTAAATCAATATTTGCTTAAATGATCATATTTACATGCATAAAAACATTATTAAAAATCCATTTGTGAGTTTGATTCTTAGAAAACACTAATTATGAAAGTTAGAAATTAGTTATATTGCTTTAGGTTTTACTTTTCAGATTCATTCGTTGGTAGTTTCCAGGGTATTTGAAAGTAGGTTCTTATTTATTTGCACTCCAGATGGCTTTATTTCATTTGTTAATAATGTGGGCTTAGGCAGAATCACTCCAACCCAAATTAATGTACTCTCGGGCGTAATAAAAAAAAGTAAAATCTGGATGTGCTGTATTAACTGACAAAGGTAAATTCATGAGCAAAAAAGACAAAGTTTTTAATTGTACTTTATAGTCAGGATTTTCATCAATATGGACTGAGTTAGACAAATTAATAAATATAGCAGTACTTGTGCATATGCTATTTGTTTAAAATTAAATTTAAAACGGATTCTTTCACCAGGAGATATTAATTAAACTCACTTTGAAGCTAGTGTGCGTATACATGTAGAATGAGTCATACACAGAATGAAAATTTAAAACTTCTATGTAATATACCAAAGGACTATCAATTTTCTGGTGAAAATATTGTTTTTTTACGTCCTATTTTGGTGAATCTTCAAACTTTCATTATTGGATAAGATGGGGATGGTAAATGAAAGAAATGTTAATTTATATTAGATTAAATATATATGTATCATGACTGTTAGCTTGTATAATAATATTAACTGTACATAAATGTTATATGTAATACATAAATTGAAAGCTTTTGGAAATCAAAGATGAATACTTCTTATATGTACCTAAATTAATCTGAAAGAAAAAACATTGAGAGCATATAATTTAAAGTATAAAATTTTAACAGGTATGTAATATTAAATTCACACAAATAATTACCAATCTATGGAGGAGACCCTCTTCTATCAATATTAGCAAATACTGCTCATCGGTATAAATTTTTGGAAAAATTCTTCAACCGTGCATATACTGATACAATAGCTTCCTAAAACTTTTAAAAGTAATATCTTTTTATGCAATAAAACAAAACATACCTGCAGTAATGCAATAATACAAAACAATTAAATCAAATCAAATTGCAGTGTAGAAATCCTGTAAGTCCTGACGTCCTATCAAATATGAGATTCATTCTGCAACAAAGTACTAATAGAAAGATCTAAACTTTGTTCAGCTGATAACACAACATGCAAATCATAAAATATCTTATGGCCTTGTCTGAAAATTTTATCATACCTTTAAGCAACACATGTTTGTTTTAATATGGTGGTCAATAGCAAATACATTTTAATTATGAGTACATACCTCAATGAATCTATCCAACGAAGCAATTTATTTCTTCTAACGTTAATTATAACAAAATTCACTTTCTTATTCATGCGCTTTCTTCACTTAACCCGGTGCCAATGACGCTGGGTCATAATGACCCGAGACGTTTTTTAACGAACATATATTTTGTTTACCCGGGTTATGTGGTTTAAGCGTTTGAGTAGCTGAAGCGATGCCTCCCCGCTACCCGCCCCGATGGTTCGCTCAGTGCGACGCCGCCCGCGCAACGAGCAACTCGTGCGTCAAGTCCAATCGGGTATGTTTGACCCAGCGTCATTGTAAATGTAATATTTTCGTGACATACTTTTATTTTCTATTTAGTGATTTTATATTTATTTTTTGTGTTCTTTAATAGGTTTTTGAAGAAAATGGCACTGACAAATGATCCGCGGAGAATATTGGAAATATTGGAAGAGTCAGATGAAGACCAATCAAATTCTACTTCGGACGCCGAGGTTGAAGACCATTTATCGGAACGAAGTAACGATAGCGGCACCGAACAACAAGTTAGTGATTCTGATGCGGACTCTGATTCATCAAGCAATTTGGACCTTTTGAGATTACAAAGTCAACAAAATCGGCATGTGTTCAAAGGAAGAGATGGAACTTTGTGGCAAAAAACACCAGCACGATCAAACGTACGTACCAGATCAGAAAATATTATATCCGATTTACCTGGTGTTAGATCCGTTGCTCGTAATGCAAAAACTATATTTGAGTCCTGGAGCTTATTCATAGACCTGAATTTACCACGTCAACTGCGCAAAAGAATCGCACAATTCACAGGTGAAACCACAGATGAACCACCTCGAAAGATTCTAGGCGTTCGCAAGAGATGCCAAATATGTCCGTCCAAAAAAGATAAGAAGACAAGTCATACCTGTCATGAATGTCAAATTTATATATGCCCTGATCATTTTATTACCTACTGCAATAATTGTAGTAGTTCGATGTCAGTAAATGAGGAAATAGAAGACTGATTGGCATTTATAATTAAAAATAACTTAATTTGATCTCTTTTTTAGTATTATAAGATGTTTGTTACCAATGATTATTAACATTACTTAAACCAAAACTTATAATTAACATATGTTGTTTGTTCAAAGTTGATTTTGCATGTCTTGTTAAGTATGTCAATAAAAGTTTAATTATTATATATTAGTTTTATTTTATTTATTTTTTATGCAGAAAATACCTTTATTTAGTAAACATTAATTACAATTTAGTAAAAGTATATATTTTTTATTATAAATCCTCAATAAAACGTCGGGTCAAAATGACCCAACGTCATCGTTCTTGCAATTTTTTTCGCGTCATTGGCGCCGGGTTAATATACGCACATGATTGGTGACTCAGATATGCCGCATTATTATTAGAAATAAATAAAAATTGCGATTATAAGAAGCAATAACCATCTTTAACAAGCACATAAGTTTGAATAAAACCTGTCAAAATACGAAATAAAACCTGTCAAACGCCATCTTGTTTGGAATCCTTGTTTGCACTTTTTTTGCCACCCCGAGAAGTCATGGCGTTTTCACTGACATTTTTATGAGCTTGCCCGTTCCCTATTGTACATTATTTAAGCGCTCAAGTATTTAAAGATATATATCAGCGTAATATTTTTCAAATTAGATTGATAGATGAAGAGGGCCCAACAACGTAAAATCTTTTTCAAATCAAAATGTTTATGTTTATTTTTCTATGCATATTAATAATAAAACCGTTTATTAACATTTCAGAACTATGTGAAAACCATAATTTATTTGAAAAGACGCGCCACTTGTTGATTATCAACGTGGTTTGATTGATGTCTCATCTTTTTAAAAGCATTACTCTATGCTTCACTTCACATGTCAAATTATGAATTAAATTTTATTTGAAATCATTTATCATATAGTAAGAGCTTGTTGATTAAAGTAGATTATTATTTAGTATACGAATAGTTTTTAAATATTTCGTGAGTGTAAAATATTCAAAATGTCGGAAGAAACATTTAAGTCTATGAATGATCAGGCAATTATTAAAATTGAACCACCAGAATATCCAGTAGAAGACATTGAACGCGAAAATGAGGATAAGTTTGATGATCTTGATGCTGTCGTTAAATCTGAATCGTGTTCTGAGGACGATGATACGTGTTTAGAAAGATTCAAGAACTCCGAGGTGACAATTGAAGATGAAGTCAAACAGGAGTCTTTTGATTGTGACATTTGTAATCAATCATTCGCAGAATCACATCATCTAACAAAACATATGGTCGATCACATGCCTAACCGTAGCAAAGAACGTCCTTACAAATGTGAAATTTGCCCAAAGACTTTCAATCAATCAAGAGGGTTGAACACACACATGGTCATTCATAGTGGTGAGCGTCCACATAAATGCAATGAATGCAATAAGGCATTCACACGATTAGGCGATCTGAAAAGACACATGCTTATTCACAGTGGTGAGCGTCCACATAAATGCAATGAATGCAATAAGGCATTCATAACTGTAACTCGTCTGAAAACTCACATGCTTGTTCATGGTGGTAAGCGCTCTCATGAGTGCATGATATGCAAGAAGACATTCACACAATCATATAATCTGAGAGCTCACATGTTCATTCATAGTGGTAAGCGCTCTCATGAGTGCAGTATATGCAAAAAGACATTCATACATACTAGCCATCTAAAAAGTCACATGCTCGTTCACAGTGGTGAACGCCCCCATGAGTGCAGTATATGCAAGAAGACATTCACACAATCATTTAATCTGAAAACTCACATGTTCATTCACAGTGGTGAGCGCCCCCATGAATGCAGTGTATGCAATAAGACATTCGCACATTTATGTACTCTGAAGAAGCACATGCTGATTCATAACAGAGAGCATCTTTATAAATGTTAAATATGCCACAAGACATTCACACGATTAGGAGGCTTCAAACGGCACATGCTTATTCATAAAGGAGTGCGTTGCAACTGTTAAATATGCAATAAGAAATTCAATCAATTAGGCAATTTAAATCAGGCATAGTCGGGAGCGTGATGAAAATCAATGAATCTAAACTTAAATTGAATTTAAAATATTTGTCATAAAATATTTTTTCATGTAATGTACAAATAGTATGAAATATACAGTAAACATTAAATAATATGCATTTATTGCTAATCAAGGCAAACAAGATTTTTTTCTAATTTGATATTAAAATAAAATAAATGAAAAGAATTATAAAGTTACTTTTCATTTATTTTATTTTGATATATAACTATGTGTTATATTTATTTCCCACATTTTTCAGTTTTTGTTTTGATTATTTGTTATCCTCGTCATTCTGATAAATTTCGATGATTTACCTCCTTTTCTTTTTTGAACCCATTGTTATAAATGTAAATAATAATAATAATAAAAGTACAAAAGCAAAAAACGCCACCTCAACAGATACTGGCGTGGGTTTATCATTGCTACAAAATTAATATTAATATATTTGTTTAACTGATAACATGCAAATCAATAAAAAATTTTATGGCCATGGGTCAAAATTGTATAGCGCTTTTAAGCAACAAATATTGTGGCCAATAAAAATAATATTTAAATTAGGCTTGCAACGAATAATATATTCGGCAAAATGCCGAATACCGAATATTCTGCATGCTTCAGGTACTAATACCGAATATTCGGCTGGTTTTTCGAGCCTAAACTCGTTCGTATTGATGTAAATACTATTCGCAGTTGTTATATTACTAACTTACTACATATTTATTCAATTTTATGTCTAGGCTTGCTACGATCATTCGGTTACTCTTTATTACTTGAAAAATATGGCACCCTATACCTTTTGGACGAATACCGAATACTTATATGTGATATGGGAATAAATCAAAAAGCGATTCTTTACACATATATATAAATGTATTTCAAATTATTTCTTTCATAAACATTTAATATATTATTTTATAAACACAATATTATTTCTTATATATTGGCTGAAGGAAAGCTGAACATTATAGTATAAATAAAAACTGATCCAAAATATTGTTTGTATTTTTTACGATAAAGAGCCCATAATATCTCTTTATTTAGATATGTTTAGATTAAATATAATAAATGACTTTATGTAACCGTTGAATGATTCTTAACATAAACATATAACAATAACGTGTCTTTTGAATATTGAGAAGAGTTCTTCATTTGTTCGTTTATATAAACGTTAATAGTAACCGAATATTCTGTGCGAGCCTAATTTAAATTATAAATACGGTTCTTCATTAAATCTTTTCAACAAAGCCACTTTTTTTTCTCTTCGTGCATTTTCTTTCGGAAATATAAAAAAATCACTTTGTTATCCACATGATTTCTCCACTTATACTCGCATGATTTCGTACGGCGTAGATACGTCCCATTATGATTAGAAACTAGTGGCATCATGACATCGTTCTTCAAGGCAAATTGCTAGAACTTCCCGCACCATAATGAAATGTTCGAGGAATTTTAAATGTTTTTATATTGATAATTATAGATATAATTTGTTAAATGTTTAAATAGATTATTATGAATACTGTAGCTTTTGATATTCGTATACAAAAAATAAGAGCTTATGAATTAGTGGACGACGTTTATACAAACATATTTGAAACTAAATCCAGCGGTGCTAGAATAAAGGAACTTATTATCTAATACTTTTCATATACTGAATTTTTAAATTTAAAATTTAAAGTCTGAATTATTTTCGATGTTTGAAAAAAGTATTTTCTGGAAAATTAATATCAATGTTAATATTGTTAATAATAAAACCGTTTGCACACTGTTGAAATAAACAGAATTATCATTTATTTGAAAAAAATGCGCCACTTGTTAATTATCAACGCTATTTGATTAATATCTCATCTTTCTATAAACATACTCTATGCTTCAAACGTCTAATCAAAGCATTACTCTATGCTTGAAATAAAGAATGTAATTTTTGTTGAAATTATTTATCATATTGAAAAAGATTGTTGATTAAAGTAGATTATTATTTAGAATACGAATAGTTTTTAGATATTTAGTGAGCACAAGCAGTGAAAAACATTTAAAAATGTCAGACGAAACAATTATGTATAAGAATGATTTGGCAATTAAAATTGAACCACCAGAATATTCACCGGAAGATGTTAAAAGCAAAAATGATGATGAATTTGATGTACTTGATGCTATCGTTAAATCTGAATCATTTTCTGAAGACAATGACACGTGTTTAGAAAGATTCATGAATTCCGAATTGACAGTTGAAGATGAAGTCAAACAGGAGTCTTTTGATTGTGAAATTTGCAATCAATCATTTGCAGAATCCCATCATCTAACAAAACATATGGTCGATCACATGCCTAAGCGTACCAAAGAACGTCTTTACAAATGTGGAATCTGCCCAAAGACTTTCAATAAATCAAGAGGGTTGAACACACACATGGTCATTCATAGTGGTGAGCGTCCACATAAATGCAATGAATGCAATAAGGCATTCACACAATTAAAGTATCTGAAAAGACACATGGTCATTCACAGTGGTGAGCGCCCCCATGAGTGCAGTATATGCAATAAGGCTTTCATAACTGTAACTCATCTGAAAACTCACATGCTCATTCATAGTGGTAAGCGCTCTCATGAGTGCAGTATATGCAAGAAGACATTCATACTTACAAGCCATCTAAAAAGTCACATGCTCGTTCACAGTGGTGAGCGCTCCCATGAGTGCAGTATATGCAAGAAGACATTCACACAATCATGTTATCTGAAAATTCACATGCTCATTCACAGTGGTGAGCGCTCCCATGAGTGCAGTATATGCAAGAAGACATTCATACAATTGAAGACTCTGAAAACTCACATGCTCATTCACAGTGGTGAGCGTCCTCATGAATGCAGTATATGCAAGAAGACATTCATATATTTGTGGACTCTGAAAAAACACATGTGCATTCACAGTGATGAGCGCTCTCATGAGTGCAATATATGCAAGAAGGCATTCTTAGAATTAAGTAATCTAAAAAGACACATGCTCATTCACAGTGGTGAGCGTCCTTATGAGTGCAGTATATGCAATAAGGCATTCATACAAACAAGTCATCTGAAGAACCACATGCTCATTCACAGTGGTAAGCGCTCTCATGAGTGCAATATATGCAAGAAGACATTCATAACTATAACAAATCTAAAAAGACACATGCTCATCCACAGTGGTAAGCGTCCCCATGAATGCAGTATATGCAATAAGGCTTTCATAACTGTAACTCATCTGAAAACTCACATGCTGATTCATAATGGAGAGACTCCTTATAAATGTGAAATATGCAATAAGGAATTTACTCAACCAGGCAATTTAAAGAGACACATGGCCCTTCATAGTGGGAAGCGTGATGAAAATCAGTAAAATATCTGTTAAATTGTATTTAAATATTTAAAAACATGTTATAAAATTCATTTATTAATAATATTGTTAGAAAAATTGTCGAGGAATATCTTGTAACAATTGCAGAATGATTAGTTGTTAAGTCTCTTGTTGATAGCTTTATTGCTTAAAGATATTAGACAACCTTCACTAAATCTTCTTTTATATATATTTGTTTCAAAAAATCAATGTTATGCTGGAGGTTATTTATGTTTTTCGTGAGCATGAATTACGTGAGATTCTTTTGTGTAAATTTTGGCTAGTTTCAATATTTACATACTCCTATATATATATATATATATATATATATATATATATATATATGATATTCAGTTTTCAGGGCAATACATCAATTAAAAATTGATCTTAAAAATCTTTTTAATTGATGTATTGCCCTGAAAATTGAATATCACATATTTCAACATCAAAATTATATAAAAAATTTAATATATATATATATATATATATATATATATATATATATATATATATATATAGGAATAATACAAATACAATATATATACAAATATATATATATATACAATTATAACTGTATTATATACTGTACACAATTAACATATTAATAAATAAATGAAATGACTATTTATGAAATAATTTATCATCACAAAACACTCTAAATATTTCTACGTTAGGAAAACTATGGTATTAGTTAATTTCAGTAATATGTCTTGCCAGCATTATTAATTATTTCAAAATATTTAATTAGATTTGTCTAATTATAATTCTAATTTGATACTTTTCAAAAAAAAATTGTTAGATTTTTTTTTAAGAAATGATATTTTGATATGGGTATTTAATTTAGTAATTGGATAGTTATTTAATGAGTAATTGATTATACAGAAACAAGTCAACACATAAACAAAATCACCAGTAAAAAAATGTTACTTAAAAATTATTACCGGCAAAAGGTAAATAAGAACTACCACATAATGAAATAATAAATGTAAATAATTCATTCGGTTTGAAACTTTACAGTTTTGGAAAATTGAATTTAATTAAAATTTTAATGCTGATATATTTACATAACAGCATTAAATATACAAATATCAGTTTAAAAATAAATAAAGAAAAATATAAAGTTCACTATATATATTCAGCAACTGAAATCATTTTACTTAAAATTTGAACTTAAATGCTAATGCATGTTCAATTATTAGTAAGAAAAATATAATTCAGGAATTACTATTGCCAAAAAATAAGTTATGGTACAAGATTATAAAGTTTATAAGGAAAATTATGGGCAAGGTATGACTGAAAATAAATTAAATTGGTGACAATAAATTTGTTTTAATGCATAATTTTTAATATACATAATTGTAATGAACATACTTAAATATTTGGCAAGCATATTTGTTTGTTTGATAAATGTTTTTATATGGCTGATTTGGTTTTCCCAGTATAATTAAACAGTTGGTGGGTACAAGTTTTTAGGATCAGTCAGTATATATATATATATATATATATATATATATATATATATATTATAACAATTGCGCTGGTTATCAATAAATCCATATAATTTAATGTTTACTGTATATTTCATACTATTTTGTACATTCCATTACATGCAAAAGTATTTTATAACATGTTTCCAAATATTTAAATACAATTTAACAGATATTTTACTGATTTTCATCACGCTTCCTACTATGAAGTGCCATGTGTCTCTTTAAATTGCCTGGTTGAGTAAATTCCTTATTGCATATTTCACATTTATAAGGAGTCTCTCCATTATGAATCCGCAAGTGTTCTTTCAGAGAACTTAACCGTTTGAATGTCTTATTGCATACATTGCATTCATGAGGACGTACTTCATTGTGTATCACCAAGTGACTTTTCAGATTGCATAATTGTGTGAATGTCTTATTGCATGTTACACATTTATAAGGATGCTCTCTATTATGAATACGCATGTGTTTTTTCAGACTACTTAATTCTGTGAATGTCTCCTCGCATATACTGCACTTATTGGTACACTCATCACTGTGAATGAGCATGTGATTTTTCAGAACGCCTAAAAGTGTGAATGTCTTCTTGCATACATTGCACTCATGGGGACGCTCACCGCTGTGAATGAGCATGTGAGATTTCAGATTCCTTAATTGTTTGAATGTCTTATTGCAATGACTGCATTCATAGGGACGCTCACCAGTGTGACTGAGAGTGTGAGATTTTAGATCGATTATATGTTTGAATGTCTTATTGCATTGATTGCATTCATAGGGACGCTCATCACTGTGAATGAGCATGTGTCTTTTTAGAGTCCCCGATTGTATAAATGTCTTCTTGCATATACTGCATTCAAAAGGGCGCTCACCACTGTGAATGAGCATGTGAGTTTTCAGATGACTTGCATGTATGAATGCCTTATTGCATATAATGCACTTATATGGACTCTCATCACTGTGAATGAGCATGTGGGTTTTCAGATTAAATGATTGTGTGAATGTCTTCTTGCATATACTGCACTCATGGGGGCGCTCACCACTGTGAACGAGCATGTGACTTTTTAGATGGCTTGTATGTATGAATGCCTTATTGCATATAATGCACTTATTGGGACACTCATCACTGTGAATGAGCATGTGTCTTTTCAGAGTCGCTGATTGTATGAATGTCTTCTTGCATATACTGCACTCATAAGAGCGCTTACCACTGTGAATGAGCATGTGAGTTTTCAAACGAGTTATAGTAATGAACGCCTTATTGCAATCATTGCATTTATGTGGACGCTCATCACTGTGAATAAGCATGTGTGTTTTCAACGCTTTTGGTTGATTAAAAGTCTTTGGACAGATTCCACATTTGTATGGGAGTTCTTTGCTATGATTAGGCATGTGATCGACCATGTGCTCTGTTAGATGATGTGATTGTGCAAATGATTGATTAGAAATGTCACAATTAAAAGACTCCTGTTTGACTTCATCTTCAATTGTCACCTCGGAGTTCTTGAATCTTTCTAAACACGTATCATCGTACTCAGAACACGATTCAGATTTAACGACAGCATCAAGATCATCAAACTTATCCTCATTTTCGCGTTTAATGTCTTCTACTGGATATTCTGGTGGTTCAATTTTAATAATTGCCTGATCATTCATCATAGACTTAAATGTTTCTTCCGACATTTTTGAATATTTTACACTCACGAAATATTTAAAAACTATTCGTATACTAAATAATAATCCACTTTAATCAATAAGCTTTTACAATATGATAAATGATTTCAACTAAAATTTAATTCATTATTTGACATTTGGGACATAGAGTAATGCAAAGATGAGACATTAATCAAACCGCGTTGATAATTAACAGTGGCGCGTCTTTTCAAATTAATTATGGTTTTCACATGGCTTTATAATTTCAACCCATAGATAAAAGAAGAGTATCTCAACCATATCTCAACGTTTTCATTGTGCTTGCCCATTATTTTTACACAAATTTAGTGTTCAATCAATTTTTACATTTTAATTAATTTTTTCTGTCGTTTTTCCTGGTTTGGTATGTATAATTTCCTCCTTTTATATAGTTGATGATAAATCAACTGTGTATTTATATATTTTTGTAGATTACTGAAAGATGACACACATCAAGTGTCAAAACGTTTAATGGAATAAATAATTTTGTTATTTAATCTTTTTTTTAATTCGATGGTTGGGCTGCAAAAATATTACAAATATATATATATATATTCACATAACATTGTACATTAAAATGTTATGCAAAAATATATATATTTATCATTATGACAAAATTTATCATATTTTCATTTTGCTTTTACTTCCTTGCTAAAAGTTTGTACCTCAAATTTTACTCATATGTCAAGCAATAAATCGCTTATTTACATGCTTGCATCTCGAAAAACTCGTTTGTCAGGTATCAATATTCAGACTTTTCATTTGAATAAATTTATTTAAATTTTTGATAATAAAAATTAACAAATCAATAAACTTAAAGTGCATGTACTTCATGGTTACAATATAACAAATAAAAAAAAACTAGAAATATGAAATTAATTAGACATCTTGGCTTCATCACTCAGACTCGTTGATGATTTTTCTTTATTCAATCTTGCTTTTCCGGGCTGATATATTGCCATACTGGGTCGATCCTGAAACGAAAAATAATAATTGAACTAGAAATTATATTTTTATACTTGTTTTTGCCAACCTTATTCCTTATTCGGCGTTCAGTCCTGGGATCTCTGCGATCTTCTTGTGATCTTTTCTCAGATTTTTTTGTATCCTTAGGCTTTACATCATCGTTTTCTCTGGCCTCTGAATCGTAATTCTCAACTTTGTCATGTGATTGCTCCTCACTTGGTTTAGTAGAATCCGTTTCTTCCTGATCATTTTCCTTATTTATTCCTTTGCTATTTGATTTTTTCAAAGGTTCTTCACTATTTGCTTCACAAGTGCTATCAACTGAATCTGTTTTTGCTGTATTATCCTTCAGGGTTATTGTTTCTTGCAATGATTCAGCTAAATTTTCCACATCTTTGACCATAGCATCTGATGCATCATTTTCTTCTAATCTATCTTCCACAGGATCTGAAAGTTTATTATTTTTGCTTTGATCACCATCCGTGTCATCAATCTTATCTGTTTTAGAGTCTTTCACAGATTCAGTCTTATCATTATCGATTTCATTATCCTTTTTGGCTATTTTTTTAAGCTCATTTCTTCTAGCTTCTCTTTCCTTTCTGGCTTCACTATATTTTTTGACCTCAAACTTTTTTTCTGGCTTCAAGATTTCAGCAGGACGAACTTCTCTTTTAGACTCTTTGCTATCGCCTCGATGGGCATCAAATTTGCGCTCATCGTCCTTAATTTTGCTCCTGGTGTAAGTTGATCTGTACTCGGATTTTCTAAGGTGATCGCCATCGTTGTATCTTCTGTCGTCACGAATTTTTGATTTTATATCGATTTTTCTGTCATCAACTGAAGGCTTTCTGGGATAGTCTTCAGCATATTTTTCTTTATAAGATTTTCCCTACAATTCAAAATAAATTGTAAGTGGCATTTTGCCTTAAGGCAAGTTAATAAGTAAACTAGTGGGGTGGGTGGCATCGTGCCTTAAGGCAAATTGCTGGAACTTCCCGTACCGTAACGAAATGTTCGAGGATTACTGAATGTTTTCAAATAGATTATTATAAATATTGTAACATTGTCTAATATTTATAAGAATTATATAAACTTAATTGCAGAGTTGAAATTATTTGTAAAGTATATTAGAACTATAGTCAGAATTAAAAATAAATATTTTCGATATACAAAAAACTAAAACAAAAAAAAAAAAATGGGACAATTTTTTTTTCCAAAATCGATTATTTTGTTAAGACAAGCAGAAAGTTCTTTGAATCATTTAAATCGGACGCTTAGTTCTCTTAAAAACTGCTATTTTTTACATATTTAGCTCCGTATCTTCAAACTGGCTGGGCCTGCCTTTGCCAAAAACTAATAAACACTTCTCCCAATCATTACTAATTGAATGTTTTTTAGATCATTCAAATCGGATACTCCGTTCTCTCAAAAATACGATTTCTATTTTCTGCACTCTTTGCTCCGTATCTCCGAAACGGCTGGACCTGCCTTTGCCAAAAACTAATCAGCTCTTTTCCCTATCAATAGAAATCGGATGTTTTTTGAACCATTCAAATCGGTTGATCCGTGCCGCCTTAAAACGTGACTGGAAATTTGTATCCACACATACATACACACACACACATCCATTTTTTCTGAGGTATGCCAAAACGTTCAGAAACCTTCAAAACGTCGAGAAATGTAAAAATTTTCAATTCCGATTTTCGGCCCATTACAATAACTTACCCTACGGGAATTTAATAATCAACTTAATCGATAAGAAATTAATATAATAATTTATATGTGATTTATAAGTATACCGAGTTGCTGTATATATTATGGAATTTTGTAAAAAAAATAATTATTACACATTATTGAAAATCGAACACGCGCCTAATACATTCACCGAGTATTTTATAAAAGCAAGGCTGATTGATTCAAGTTTTAATTAATTTTTATATTTGAACCACTTTTCGCAGGACTATGATATTTTACTTGTCTGATTTTTGTCAAAAACTAGTCAGCACGATTCCCAAATTAAATCTTTCAAATAGTTTCTAAATACCTAAAATCGAGTCACGATTTTAAGCTTAGGGGGCGTCCATTATTCACGTGATCGGTTTTTTAGGAATTTTTGGACTCCCTTGGTGATATTCAAAATTACAATTCCTCCTTCACCAAACATCACATGTATTTTTAGTTACGAGCAAAAATTGATATTTTTAATTTTTTTTAAAAATGTTTGGATTTTAAAAAAAAATCTATACACGTGATATCTTTCTAGACCCTTTACTCCCCCTCCTGATTTTTTGTCAAATTTTATAATTTTCTACTAATTCTACAAAAACTGCTCAGCTGATCGTATAAAAAATTAACCAACGCGGGTGGTTCATCGACTTTCACCGAATGTATTTTAAATTTTAAAATCGGTTAAGCCGTTTTTGAAAAAACGTAGATAAAAGGTATAATTTTAACAAAATTTAAAAAAAATGCTGCTCATTTTTTCAAACTTCGATAAATTTTTAAAACTGAACTACTTGTCGTAAGGTCGTACTATTTCAGTAAGTTCTATAAGACCATGATATATATGGCCAAAAAAAGTTCCATAAAAATCAGCTTAAATTTGTTTTCAACAGTTAATTACAAGGAATCGGCTCGGTAGATTTTCACCTAAAACTAATCAGTATCATTCCCAACTAATATCTTTCGAACAGTTTTTGATTTTTTAAAATCGATTCGGTAGAATGAGCTTAAATATGGACGAGAAGTTTAACACTTTTTTCCAAATTACAAAGAAACGGCTCGTCAGATCGTCGCGCAAAACTGAGAAACGCTAATCCTCATCGAGATACATCGAATGGCTTTTAAATTTCTGAAATCGGTCCAGCCGTTTTTGAGAAAACGTTGACAAGAGGTCAAAAATCTATTCACATACGTATTCTTTTTTCAAATTTGATCTCATTCGATGCAGAATAGCTTGAAACGTCGAGAAAACAAAACTAGCAAAAAGGATTTTTTCGCGAAAACAAACTTCTTCTTCGGAAGGTTAATGATAAAAACAATTTATGTAACATTTTTGATTAAAATAACATACTTTATATTTGGAAACAGCTTTTGCACTGTCTTCCACTTCTTTTGTGTTTGGTTTAACAGTTTCTGCATCTAATTCCTGAAAATAAACATACATTTGCAAGAAAATAAGTTTGCATATTTATTGTTAAATAGTATATCAATACCTTGATATTATTATCTTCTGCGTAAGTCTCTTCATCTATAATATTTTGTTTAGCCTTGCTAAACTCTATTTTTCGCCTCCTGCGATCCTCTTCTCTCATTTTTTTGCGTTCCAACTCCCTTTTCCGTCTTTCTTCTTTTCTTTCGGTTTTGATTCTTTGTTTTTCAAGTTTTCGAGCTGCTATGTACTCTAACAAAGGAGTTGTGGTCTTCTTTTTATCTGGAATTATTAAATTAACTTATATATATATATATATATATATATATATTAGGGTGGTCCTTAAAATGGTCATTTTCGAATTTTCTTGCTCCCAGGGGCTCAAATGGTTTCAAATAGATAAAAAACAATTCTCTGAAAGTTTTAGCTCTTAATATTATCGTTTAGATAGAGCGCAATTCAATCAAAGTTTTGTATGGAAATAGCATAGAAAAATTTTCAAAAATTTAAAAAATGTTTTTTAGATGTAATTTAGCGAACAAATGAATGAATAAAACTCATTCATTTGTCGCTAAGTTATACCTAAAACATTTTTTTTAAATTTTCAAAACTTTTTTCATGCTCTTCCCATACAAACTTTGATTGAATTGCGCTCCATCTAAACGTTAATATTAAGAGCTAAAACTTTTAGAGAATTGTTTTTTATCTATTTGGAACCATTTGAGCCCCTGGGAGCAAGGAAATTCGAAAATGACCATTTTAAGGACCACCCTAATATATATATATATATGTTAGATATAGAGTCTTGGATTTGTAAATATTTTGTAGAGCTTCAACCAAAGAATCCAAATAGTAATAAGAAACAAAGTTTTTTAAAAAACCATTTCTTTATTTATTTACTATCGACGTTTCGGAACCAGGTACGCTCCATCTTCAGGACATCTGTCAAGAAACATGATGTTGATAAGATTTAAGATTTAACAATATGTTAAGAGAAGCTGAAGATGATAGATTTTTTTTTATATAAAATAAATAAAATTATGGAAAAAATAATGTACAGAAATATGACAATATATTCAAAATGGAAATGTACAAAAAGAATGAGGCAACATGAATTAAGTGGGGTCCATCATGAACAAAAAAATTCATTCTCAAGCTCTACTTGTTAATGTTTTTATTTAGAGAAACATACGTTTCGGGTCTTGATTTGACCCATCTTCAGTGCTACAATTAAATATTTTAGGGATACAAATAAAAACAATATAAAAAATACATAATTACAGACAAAAATAAGTAGAACAATGTATATGAAAAGTATGATTTATGTTTCATAACTTGATGTCTTATCAATTTTTTATTTCATATTTAATTATTTTTTAGTGCAATTTTGTTGTTTTTTGTGTTATTTTTTAAAACTTATTTGTATGGTGAGTTTCTTTACATTTGCTTTATTTTATGGTTGTTTTTCATATATATTTTTCATGTACATTGTTCTACTTATTTTTGTCTGTAATTATGTATTTTTTATATTGTTTTCATTTGTATCTCTGAAATATTTATTTGTAGCACTGAAGATGGGTCAAATCAAGACCCGAAACGTATGTTGCTCTAAATAAAAAGATTTTTTAATAAAACTGTTTTTTAATTACTGGATGGACGCCCAAGAAACAATTTTATCATATTATTTCACAATCTGAAGAAAAACCTCTCGCTTATATATATATATATATATATATATATATATATATATATATATATATATATATCCAAGACAGTATGTGATTTTTACCATCTTTAAATTGATAAGTGAATTCTGTTTTATCCTGTTTATTGGCTTCATTTTCATCGACTTTAAGACTTTCTAAAAATTCCAAATAATGAGGATCAGTTTCAATGGTGCCACATTTTGGATCATTTTGCGGGATTTCTTTTTGGGGACACCTTGGTATGGCGCATATTCGACGACAGCTGGGAATTCATTACCTGCACAAGAGTAAAATAAAAATTTAATAGATTTATTATACTATAGGATAATATTTGTTGATATAGGATATATGATTTGATAATACCTCTGTTGTCTACGAATACATAGTTATCAAATTTTTCCTTAAAGTTGAATATATCAATAGAATTGGCAAAATTTATATAAGCCCTGCAGAAAGAGTGGACACCAAGCGTTCGATCAGCATTTACAAAATAAAAGTAATCATGATCAGGAATCGGGGATATTTGTTCTAGAAATGTTTCTTCACTCATTGTCGGAGGCAATCGTCGAATAACAACCTAAAATTTTATTTCATATTATTATAAAAATTTTTGTTCCAATATTTGTCAACATAACCTTAGTTAGGGGTTTGGATTTTTCCTTTTTTTCTTTAGTTTTCTCGGTCGATTTCGACCGGTTTGATTCAGATTCTTGAGTAGTTGTCTCTGCCATATTTTTTATGTAATAAAAATATTAAATTTGTTATGAATTGCAGTTTTTTTTATAAAATTGCGACTTTAAAATAGTCATAAAGTTTTCTATGCACAATGACGTTTGAACTACACGTGTGAAGTTGTCGCAGGTACAACGGGCACGAAATTCAAAAATTTAAATTGACTTAAAAATTATTTTTTCTTTTTTTTATAATATATTTCCTTCATGATGAGTGTGTATAATGTTTTTTTTACAGTTAGTTTGTTAAATATGGAACACTAGGTGTAAGCAGTTTGTTTTAGGTGAGCTTAATAAATAAGAATTTACACTTAGCAAACTTTGAATTTATAATTTTTAATGTGAATTTAATAATCTTATATCAACAAATTAGTCATTAACCACATTATTTACAAAAAATTATATTAATTTATATCGTTCTATAATATAATATGTATTTGAAATTCAGCACTTAGTTTTTTTCTGAAATTTCTCAACGTTCCCCAGTAAACCACAAAACGTAACAAAGCCATGAACGTTACGTAACGCTGGCACGTCCGCACGAACCAGGTACGTAACCTGGGAGGCACACAGAAGCATCTATTTCGCGGGCAAGAACGTAACGGCTGTTTCGTTGCACACTAATACACCGCGGTTACATTTTTGCTACGTATCTAAATTGAATAAAAAAGTGTGTAGGTGTCTTTTATGTTACATACTTATTTAATTAAATTTCCTGCAAATATAGAATATTAATAATAATTTCGGATATTTAGTAATTTTATTAAATATTATCATTTACAATATACAAAATTTACATATTACATAGTTAACATTAGAAAACTAAAATTTGACAGTCCATAAAATGTTAGCCTATAAAAATAATTATTTATTTATTCATAATATGTATTATGTTTAACTCTCTTGGCAACTTCAGTTAAATCAGACTTGGCAAAGTTAAGTCTTGCGTTAAATATGTTCAACTCACTTGCATCTGTTAATGTATCTAAAATAGAACCAAACATCTTAGAAACATTGTACACAAATTTTGAATTGAAAACATTGTGAACAAATTAGTCATTTGTGAACATTACCTCTAAACATACTCATTATTTGAAGTTAATGACTATGTAGTTCCTACGATCATATGACAGAGATAATTATTCCATGAACACACACTCAATTTTCTTGCATTGATTTTATCCTATTAATTTTCAAGATCTGAATTACCTAAAAGTAAAACACTACAAATTAGTACTAAATCATATTAGTTAAAATTCTCTTCATGTAGAACCTTAATATACCAATTCTGTAATGCAAGATCATCAGACTCGAAATACTCAACAATTCATGTTCTCTTCAACACTTAATCCATATAATGTGTGATATCCAGTGCATTCTTTGTTTTCCTTCTTGCATGTTTCTTTGGTGACAATTTATCTTCTTGATTAGAGTAATTTTCCCTAGTTTGAATTCCATTTTGACATAACCCATAGGGGTTATGAGCACTCTTTCTCTACTATTGAAAAGCAATTTATATCAGTTTTTGCTTAACTGAATAGTTCTGATACTAATGAAATTATAAAGAATATGTATGATACCATATATATTACACTTATCTACCTCTAATATTCGTATCATATCACTGAGGTTATGTGATTTTTGACTGGTCTGTCAGAAATTTCAATAATTATGTGAAAAATCAATTATCACAATACATAAACAGAATTTGCATTGCACATGACCTATATACTGAAAATAACTAATTAGTCATTAATATAATAATTTGTAAATTAAAAAAAAACAGTGCAATTATACTCACTTTTCCTGGTTTCGTATTAAATATGTGAATTTCCTAAAAGTAAAACATTACAAATTAGTATTAAATCATATTAGTTAAAATTCTCTTTGTGTAAAACATTAATATACCTATTCTGTAATACAATATCATCACTTAAGAAATACTCCACAATTCATTTTCTTTTCAACACTTAATCTTAATATGTGTTCTTATTTATCGATATGTGTTCTTATTTTTCTTCTTGCATGTTTTTAAGCCTTGCTTGTTTTTTTTTTGGTGACAAAGGATTAATAATTTCTAATATATTATCTAACTTTGTATTTATCTTCTCTATTGGAGAAAATTTCCCTAGCTTGAAATCCATTTTCGTAGGGGTTATCAGCACTATAATTTTCTCTACAATTGAAAACCAACTTATATCAATTTGTGCTTAGCTAAATAGTTCTGATACTAATGGAACTATAAAAAATGAATATGTATAAAACTATATAACTTACTTCTCTTTATTCATATATCACTGAATTGAGGTTATGTTTCTGACTGGTGTGTTAGAAATTTCAATTATTACATGACAAATCAATTATCACAATACATGAACAGACTTTGCATTGAAGGCGGCCTATATACTGCAAAGGACTAAACATTATTATAATAATTTATAAATTAAAATATATTTCAGTACAATTAGACTCACCTTGTTTGTCGGTTTCATATTAAATACTTTTCCAGCTGACTGTTTAACTAATTTCTGCAACTGATTTTGCACTAAATATAAAAGCAATTAATAAATAACGCTTCAATAAAGGAAATATCTTGCATTTCAAACATACACGATAAAATACTCAATTATGCGTCCACGATGCACTGACCGAGTTAACCTATATTTAATTTGACATTTCGATCATAAAACACTTCACGGCTATTCTCAAAGGCGAATCTATGTGACCGTGCAACGTACCACGCCACGTACCGACAGATGCGAACAAAGCAGTATTGTAAACGTTTAAACGCGTCGACGGTGGTTAAAGCTCACAACTATACGTAGCAGCATCGGTTCGTTTACTTAACATCAGTTTCGAAACGAAAGTTACAAAATGTGTTACGTGGTGGTAACTTCTGTGGTTTACTGGGTCAGTCGTTTTACTACAAATTCTTTTTGTTATACTTAGTTTTCCATTAATGCATAATTATTATTATACTATTTTTCTTTTATTCATTTACATCTTCAATTAGTTTCTGAAAATTTTCTTTATACTACAATCATAATTCTCAAAAAATGTTAAATTCAACTATTTCTATTTACTGTATTGTTGCTCTATTTTTCCTTTAATTAATTTTGTTTTATCTTTTCCTCAATTTTCTCTATTTGGGTAAGATAATAAACGATGTATATTTTTTCTAATAATTTATTTCTTCAATTACCATTTCTTTTTTAATTTTGAGGATAACTGATTCTGAAACATCGCAATCTTTATTAAAGACATGTTTGATAAATTGTATTTTACAGTTTCTAGTAAGAATCGACCATTTTTTTTATTCTTTTTTTAAAAAATCTGATTTTGATATTGCAATAATCTAGAAAAATTGTAAAAACAACACGAGTCAAGGATTTGAATAATTATTTTTTAAAAATTAATCGATAATATTATGCTAAGAGTCATGTTCTAAAAGATCAGAATTTCATTTATTAATGCAAAGGGGGTTTAAAAAAATAAATACAGATTCAGCAAATTTTCTGAGGTCATCATATTTTTTCTTATGCAAAATAATATGATTTTTGGTATTAAAAGTGTGGTTTAAACTAATGACATGTTCCGAAAACATAGTCTTATACTGATTTGGAAATTACAGTTACATACTTTTATCAATTTTGGTATCAAACGATTCAGAACGACTTAAAACGTTGAGGAAATATAAGATTAGCGAATTGGATTTTCTGACAAAAACATAAACTTCTCATTCATTAAGATAAAAATAAATCACAATATAAAGTATAAAAATATATAATAAAAGAAATACACAAATAAATAATAACAAATTTATTGAATATTCATTTGGAAAATTAATACTTTTTTATTATAATATATATATATATATATATATATATATATATATATATATATATATATATATATAATCTATACAATAAAACATTTAAATTTCAACATTTTCAAATCAAAATTATTGATTCCGCTTGAACATTTTCTCCACCTTCATGATTTTTACTAGAATTTACACTAATCTGTTTCCCATCACTTATACTATGTTGTATTTTCATATGTACATTTCTAGAATAAGAATATCCAAACTTCTTTGAACAAATCGTACAACTATAGGGCTGTTCTCTAGTATGCACCCTTTTATGCTTAGCAAGTCGACTATGAGAAATAAAACATTTCCCACAAGTTTTACAACTATACGGTCGTTCCCCTGTATGGGTCATAATATGTTTCTTAAGACCTTCATTTAAATTGAAAGAAGCATTACAAAATTCACATTTGAATTCCCGTTCATTCAGATGCTGTCGTCTGTGTTTTAATAAATTACTGGCTGTCTTGAAGGCTTTGAAACAAAATTCACATTTATAAGGACATTCTCGAGTGTGTGTCCTCATGTGAACTGTGAGATCAGACCGAGTGGTGCAGGCTTTAGAACAAATATCACAAATATGTCCTTTATACCCGGTATGCACCAACATGTGTGTTGTCAAGCCTCCGCTTTGGATGAAACTTTTATCACAAATTTTGCATTTATACGGACGTTCTTTTGTGTGAGTTCTTACATGATTTTTGAGTATTGATGTGGTGAAGAATCCTTTGCCACAAATTGTGCATAAGTGCTTGCGTTCTCTGTAAATGTGGTCTTTCATGTGTGCTTTTAGTTGGGAGGATCGTATGAAGCCTTTGGGGCACTCGTTGCATTTGTAAGGTCTTTGGGTGGTGTGGACTGCTGAATGTGTTTTCAGGTCGTAGGAGGAACGGAATCTTTTGCCACAAATTTCACACATATTTTTAGGCATTGGGATGTCTTTATTCTTAGGTGCAACATTAGAATTACTTTCAATTGGATCATTTTCATTATCACAATCTATACTTAAACTATCTACATTGTCATTGTTGTCAAATTCTGCTTTAATTTCCATATCGAATTTGTTATTTTTATCATTCTTATCTAATATATACATTCTTAGTTTCGAATCTGAGGACTCGCATAGTCTTTTGAAGTTACAAGCGATGTTTAAATTATTTAAACAAGCTTTACAAATTTTTGAAGGCAGTTCATCATCTTCTGCTATCTGGAATAAAAAAATCCTTTGAAAGTTTAAACTAGAATTAATTATAATTTTTTATCATAATTCAAAGCTTCATAGAATTAATTATATATTTTTTTTAGAGGCATTTGTAAAAAACGAACAAATGTTTATATTTAAATATTTATATTTAGCCATTATTATTTATGATTTTTAAACTTCCTCATTCTTCTTGAAAGGGGACATACCTTAAATGTTGAATAAAATAAATGAAAAATTAAACAAATAACTTTCTGAATATGAAAGAAAGCTTTTAGTTAATTATATATTATATATATATATATATATATATATATATATATATATATTGAATGGTAGAGTCTTGGATTTGTGTATATTTTGTAGAGTTTCGAACAAGAATCCAAAAATAATGATCCATTATTTTTGGATTCTTGTTCGAAACTCTACAATATATATATATATATATATATATATATATATATATTAAATGTTAAATATGAACAATACAACACTCAGATTTTTAACATATACTTTATTTAATAATTACAGACGTTTCGAGACCATGGTATGCCTCATCTTCGGTGTAATTTCAAAACAGTAAAAATTATATACTAATATTTTATTTGAATTAGAAGGGACTTATTGAAAGGGAATTATTGAAAGATGAAGGGACAATAATAAATAATAATATCCATCCTTGTCCTTTCATCTTCGACACTTAAGATTTGTTTTCAAATATTTCTGTATATATTCACATGTTTAGTACTGTGTAAAGCATTGTAAGAGATAATTGGTGTTTTTTATTTTTCAAAAATTAAATATAATTTAAATAAAATATTAAATAATGTATTAGTATATAATTTTTTACTGTTTTGAAATTACCCTGAAGATGATGCTTACCATGGTCTCGAAACGTCTGTAATTATTAAATAAAGTGTGTGTTAAAAATCTGAGTGTTGTATTGATCATATTTAACATTTAATATATATATATATATATATATATATATATATATATATATATATATATAAGATTCCTTTACTATTGTTTACCTTTGCAATAGTGCAATACATAATTTCATCACAAATCTTCAAATTCAAATTATCCTGCACCACAAATATAGTTTTAAGACTTTCACAATGTTCCAGACAAATCCTGCAAATGTTTTCAATATCTAAATCCATTTTTATATTTAATTAAGTATTTATTTATTTAAGATTTGTAAATGTCAAACATAGCCTAGGATTCCAATTAGGAAACCAGCATGTATACAAACATGTAAATGGAACCTAACCTTTCTTACAAACTCTCAAAAGATGTCAGTCGAAATTTCCTTAAGCACAATCCTTCGTGGAAAATCATTTTAAAAAATTAGGCCAAAACATATATTTTCTTATATTAGAACAAAATAAAACTAGCTGTAAGTGGAATTCTGTCTTAAGGCAATTAAGGCATCGTGCCTTAAGGCAAATTGCAGGAACTTCCCGTACTAAAAATTATTATTTTTCTAAAAACAATTAACATTTTTGAAAAAAGTTTCGAAACAAAACTTCGAAAAAATTAGATTTTTGAGACCAAAAACTTTTTTGAAAACAAAATTTTTTTGAAAAGAAAAATGTTTTCTTCATTTTGACATATTTTGGAAATTCTGAACTTTTGAGAGAACTTTCTAAGCAATCGTACTGCTTGAATTGCATAGAGACTAAATATCGAAGCGCGTAAGCGCCGCGTCGCTGTCTAACGCATAAGCATTGGTACGGAACCCATAGAAAATTAAAAAAAAAAATACTTATTGTTAAAATCTCTATAAAATATTTGATAATTTGGTGTGCATATGTCTAATGTTCATTTTTGACCGCCAAATAGCTCATTTTTTTACTTTTTTCTCCATATCTCCAAAGTCGTTTGACCTGCCTTTCTAAAAATTTAAACAGTTGTTCATTTAGTCAATACAAATGAAATGTTTTTTGAATTATTCAAATCGGACGCTCCGTTCTCTTAAAAACTGAGTTACCGTTTTCGGCACTTTTTGCCCCGTATCTTCGGAACGGCTAGACCTGCCTCCGCCAAAAACTAATCAGCACGTCTCCTTATCAATACAAATCGAATGTTTTTTGAATTATTCAAATTGCTTCATCCGTGTTCCCGAAATCGTCGACGAAAATTTGTATCCGCACACACATACATACACGCACACACACACACACACACACACACACACACATATCCATTTTTTCTAAGGTATGCCAAAATACTCAGAAACCTCTGAAACGTAAAGATATATAAAAATTTTCATTTTCGATTTTTTTGCGATTACTATAACTTGCCCCACGGGAAGTTAAAAATTAAGCCAAAACATATATTTTCTTATATTAGAACAAAATAAAAAAAATAAAATAAAAAAATTTAGATGGCAGACCACCCTCTCCACAAAAACCAACACCGACTATAGGAGCCCCGCCTTTTTTTTTTGAAAATGCTATAAAAAAAATACTGAATATTTTCTCAAATTTAATTTCATTTAGGAGCACAATCCTTTCGGTTAGTAATAAAAATTAATTAAAAAAAAAAACAAAAAAAAAGTTAAAATAAGTTTTACTTAAGTTTAAATAAATTAAGTTTAAATAAATTAAATTTCCTTTTGATTGGTTTGCTTAGTATTAGATGCTGGAGTTCCACAAGGATTCGTTGTTGGACCTAGATAAAATACAGGGTAGAACTTGGCTTGAGGGTCTGCGGGTAAAAAGGTCCTTCACCGATATCTCAAAAACATGTGAAGTTAGGAAGTTTCATTAATAGTATTTGAAAGTAGAGGGCAAAAGATGTATAACCAGACATCACCTCGATTCTTAAGACGTTTCTATCGGAAGATAAAAAGTATTTAAAAATCCGTAACAAAAGTATCATCTTTGCTAATTAGTTTTTTTGGCTGTGAGTACTGTTGTTTAGTTTACGAGACCTTAATATAGTTTTTAAGTATACGTTATTTAATTGTGGTATATGATATATTGTTAATTTTATGTTAGAATCAACAGTTTTTTCATAAAGTCTTTAATAAAAGCTTACACCTGGGTGGGGTAAAAAAGACTTACTGCACTTTTACTCTGGCAAAGGTGTAAACAATAAATAATAGTAAATAAAGTTAAAAAAGCAATTTTACAAGAGACGATACATTAAATAATTAGTTATTCTAATTCTGCTGATGAATTTTTCTGACGAAATACCAGATCAAGGTTGTATACAGTGTTGTTTGTGTTAAAAATCACCCGTGTAATTCATATTTTGTATTGACTGAATAATGTAGCTATTATTTTGTAAAATTCCTTCAAAATTAAAAATAAGACATTGGATCTGTATGACCCTTGGATGTTCCTATTTAATCCACCTATGGGGTAAAAAGGATCAAGTTACAAATTTTGCAAAAAAAACAGATTTTTACGATGATGATTTATTCGGGAGTTATACTGAACATAGTCAGATTGTTGTTAGTTTTATATGTGTCATTTGTTGTAATTGGTTTGGTTTGCACAATATAATTGCTCAAAGTCAAATTGGATCTTTGTGCCCCGCCCTCTCACATTTATTCTTTTTTTTTTTAATAAAGACAGTAATAAACAATATTTTCTAAACAAAACTTTATTATCAATATACATTGTATACAACAAATTTGGCGTTACTAAAATCTTTTCTTTGGCAGGCTTACATATATATTTTAAATAACATATATAAATGCTCATCGATTAGAATACACGACTTAAAATACTATTAACTATTATACAAATAATTGTAAAAATATTAAATTAAATTAATAAACAATTGTTAATTTCATTCTCTTGCATCAAATAAAAAAATAGATTTTTGGACATTGGAGAACGACTGAACTTGTAACTTTGGTTCAAAAAAAAGGAAATTTACATATGTGAATAATTTAGGGTGGTCCTTAATATGGATATTTTTGATTTTTTTTGCTCTCAAAGGTTCAAATGCTTCCAAATTAATAAAAAAAAATTATTTGAAAATTTTAGCTCTTAATATTAACTTTATGATAGTTCCCACTCTAACCAAAGTTTCTTACGAGTAAAATTCCATTTGTTTTTTAGAATTTTATAACTTAGCGACAAGTGAATCAAAATTTTGAGAATAACATTGTATTTGCTTATTTTGATTGTAATTCAAAAAAATTACGAAAAAAATTTGGTATGTTTTATGAAATGAGTATTTACTTAGGCAGAAGAACTAAGAAACTTTGGTTGGAGTGCGGACTATCTTAAAGTTAATATTAAGACTTAAAACTTTCAGATAATTTTTTTTTCATTAATTTGGAAGCATTTGATCCTCTGGGAGCAAGAAAATTCGTAAATATCCATATTAAGGACCACCCTAATGAACATATAATTATCATTTATATTTTATTACAACTAAAGTTTTTTGAACAATTTGATCAAAAACAAGGTCTAAAATATAATATTGTCGGAAGTTTACATTATTATTTATAACAAATATTATTCAAGTACTTCATTATTTATTATATTTTCCATCTTATATATTTACGTATATTTTAGCAATATTTTCTTTCTTTTTAAAAATTAATATTAAAGCTCACAATACTAAAATCTATAAAAAAAATGTGGAACACATTTAATACAATTCTAATCGTTAACAATAATAATAATATTTATAATTTTTAAAAATGACCACGATTTTATAAATATCAAGAGAGGCTCATTTTAACATTCCAATACTTAATATTAATTATTCAATAAATGCATAAATACAAGTTTAATATCAAAAGCTTCCATAATATATGTTTTTATTTTTTAACATTTACTTTAAATTTATATAAAAATATATAAAGCTTAAAAAATATTGTCGGTATACAAGTATATAAAAAATTAAGGCCGAAAAATATTTTTTGAATGATATAATAAATATGTTAAATGATATTACTAATAGTTTTGGTTGAATAAATATATGTATATGATAGTATATAAATAAATATACAAATTAATTTTAAAAATGTTTTAGTTATTGTCATAAAATTTAATGTATTTATTTTATAGTGAAATATAAACTTTTTTTTTTGTTTTTGCTTATATATTTTTTGGAAATTATTTTCCATTATTAATTGAAAAATCTAAATAAAAAAATGAGAATATATTTAGTACTTTTTTATAGCATTTTCTAAAAAAAGCCGAGTTATTTTTTTTTAAATTCTGTTCTAAGAAAATAAAGTTTTTCTTTTTGATTTAGCTTAGTTTTTTTAAAATATATTTTATCATTAAAGGAAAGGATTGCTTCTTCGAATAAAAAAGAAATTTGAGAAAACACTCAGTACTTTTTTCTATAGCATTTTCAAAAAAAAAAAAAAAAAAACCGACCCTACACTGGGTTTTGGTTTTTGTGCAGAGGGTCCGCCAACCAATTTTTTTTTTATTTTTAATTTTGTTCTAAGAATATAAAGTTTTTCGTTTTGTTCTTGCCTAATTTTTAAAAAAAATATTTTGCATTATTAACCGAAAGGATTGTGCTTCTAAATATAAAAAATGAAAAAAATACTTTTTTATAGCATTTTCAAAAAAAGGCAGACCTAAAGTCGATTTTTGGTTTTTGTATAAAGGAAAAATAAACAATTTATGACAGAGATATTTTATAATCGATCAATTTTTTTAAGTTTCATTTATTTATATAATTATTTATTTTTAGTGAAAATAAATTCACTATAATTGGTGACCCTCACAAAACAGTAATTACATTTTATGACAATAATTCAAAAATATTTAAATATTATTTAATAACTTAAATTAGAAAAAAATAAATGAATTTAACACGTTACTTAAATTTACACATGATGTTTGTTAACTGAATTACAATTAATATTTGTCAAAGTTAATATATATTTAAATAAAAAAAATCTGCCCATTAAAATCACAAACAATATTTGGAATTCATACAATATACAATTATTACTAATTTCATACTAAAATTAAAAAAATAATACTTATCCTAGACTAAAGTTTAATAAAATGGCGTTTCTGACTAAACAAGTATATAAGTGTAAAGTAATATATTTTTAATACATTAATCTCTACTAATAAATCACAGAGAAGACTATATATAAATATGTACATTTTAAAATAGACTTAAAATTAATAAATTTATCAATAAAATAAATTTATTGTCACGCTTTGATTGTTCGCCTTGTGGTTGCTCCTCTTTGTAATTTTTCTTTGAAACATCCTCGACACATTAGAAGATTTTTATAAGCCTGATAAAAAATTATTTATTAAAAATATTTGATATATATATATATATATATATATATACTAGCAAACCCGACGAACTTCGTTTCGCCACCAGATGGTTTCGTGAGAAAGATGAAAAAATTTTTTGTTTGTTTTATATTTGAAAAGGTGAAATTTGATTTTATTACACAACAGTAATGAATTTATTTCGATTACAAAAATGAAGTGTTTTTAGTTGAACTTCTCTAAGTAAATGAAAGTAAATCCGCAAATTATCCGTTTCATTGAAGTGCTCTTTGGTAAACCACATTTTTTGTTTTTTGGTCTGACGTTAACACAAACAAAGCGGATGGTTTTCCAACTCGTGAACAGACAACGTATAATTGCCCATGTGAAAAACAATGATTTTCTAAATAATCTATTTGAAATTTATCCCGCAAACACTAAGCGATTGGCCTTGCGACATGTTATTGCGAACGCAAGGCGAACTGGAAATTGCAATCGTTTGAAGTCAAACGGAAGACCAGTCAGAATCATTGGTATGTCACCAAATCGCCAGCAATTTTTGATTGAATGGTGAAATTCAGTGCGTGTACATCATTGTTCTTCGCGGCAAGAATTGCTTGTTGACTTAATTGCAAGCATATTTCTGATAATTCTCACCAATGTCATTGCAATTTGCATTAGGGCACGATGCCATGCACCACTAATTTTCTTAGCTATAAACCTTGCGGAGCCCGAGACCTTTCCAACTAATGTAAAATTTTTAGATTATTTGGTACTAATAATATTTTTATTGATGCATGTAACAAGTGCTAATTTTACATAGAAACATATTGCTATCTATATTTTTTAATGAAATCTGATGTTGCTTCTGTTTGATATCAGTTTGTCCGAAGTGGATATAGAACCTAAAACTTCTAATTGAGAATTTATTTCTCTTCTAAATATTACTCAACGAGAGAGCCATTATACAAATATAAGTTAACTTCGTTCGCATAGATAAGGAATAATGTTAATTTAAATAATAATAATTTGTTGATAATGATTTAAATAATAATGTAAATTTAAATAATAATAATAATTTGTTCGTTCGTTTCTAATCACTATCGTTTATTGTCTCTAATGACACTCTCTCTATATGTCACTATTCGCCTCTCACAATATATAATCTACTAACATTATTCTTTTAATACAAAAGTGAACTAAGATTATATATTGGAATCGAACATTTTTTATAACATGTTAAATTGTGTATTAGTATTATTTAATAATTTATTTGAATTCCTTACTCTTTATTTGAAAATTACCATCTTTGATTTAATCTCTATATTTTTGAGCAAATCCTCGACAAAAATTCCTAATAATTATTAGTATAATAATTTTTATAAAAATTATATTAAGCTGATAACTGTTAATACTACTTTATATCAAAGACTTTATATTTCTTTAAAAAACTATTGCTTTTCTGATGGTCAAGATATTTTCAATTATTTGAAGTTCTTTTAATAAATATTTGTATGTCGTTTTAATATGTTTTTACTATTATTTTTATAAAATATTATAATTATTAATATAATTACCTGACGATATTCTGAGCTCATTACAACATAAATAATTGGATTCATACATGTCGTCAAATATATGAGAAGATATCCAGAAATGTTCAGGACTTGATAATTACTGGCCATCTGGAAAAATAGATAATAATTTATATTAACTAAATTATTATATTCAGTATATTACAACTATTTATATATTCATAATGATTTAATTACATTTTTATATTAAAATTATTAATATTAGTTTCTTATCTTAAAAAATTATAAACATTTTTGTAATTGTAAACACAATATTTGGTGAATCAAAATTGGTGTAAGTGAATTCCAGTATTTTTATCAACATAAATTCTTTTAAAAATGTTTTTTTTTGATACTTTTATATTTGTTAACAAATAATTGGTAAGAAAATTGGTAGGAAAATTGGATTTCAATATAATTAATTTATCGACAATGTTTTAATAATAATAATGTTATCATAAAATAGGTAACTAAATTTTTTAGTCTAGCAATTTTTATGAATTTATTTATCAAAAATATACAGTGCATTTAAGGCCATTAATAATTAGTAATATTTCTTATTTTTTTAAGTAAATTCATTAATTTTAAAATTTTGCCACTGATCAATTATTTATATATTTATAATGATTCAATTAATTAAAATTTCGTTATTTTATAATTATCAATAATAGTTTCTTATGTTAGAAAAATATTTTTCAAGTTGTTAATTGCTCTTTAATTCAATACGTTTATTTGTGTTAATAAATATTTGGTAAGAAAACTGGAGTTATAATTATCTAATTTTTATATAAATTATATTTTCATGGACAATGTTTAATGATACATTCGAAATTATTATTAACCAATCGCTTTTCACAAAATATTTTTTTTATAAATTAATTACTAAATGAAAAAGAGCCATAGATTTTTTTGAATTTACTTGTTAAAAAATACAGTACATTATTAATTTTTAATATTTCTTTTTTTTATGTAAATTCATTAATTTTAGAATTTTAATACTAATCAATATCGCATTTATAAAGGCCTAAAAGTGAATAACCTTAATTAGCGTTAAAAATAATTATAAATATAATTATAATTGTTCTCATAAATATCTTGCCAAATATTTTTTGAAGTGAAGAGTTCTTTTCTATTTTGAAACTCAATTTAACATTGTACTTAAGGTGATCGTCAGCAGAATCTTTTTTTTTGCAGTTTTATACGATGCATTTTAGTAAATCAATATATATATATATATATATATATATTATATTATACATGGGAATATTGACAAATGATAAAATTTTATCTTTACTGAGGCCTCACCTGGATAAAAAAATATCTGGGATTATTTAACGATTATATGTGAATATATATATATATATATATATATATATATATATGTATGTATGTATGTATAACAAAGTGAACAAACATGATTTTAAACAAGGATCCATCTAGTTATTAAAAAAAGCTCTCTTTAAAAATTTAATAAAACTTTCTATACGCTTCGACACTCATCTTGACTTTGCTTCAATGGTTAAAACTACTAAACAAAATATTAAAAATTATATATGAAGTATCTAAAACTTGTAAAATAATCAACAAAAAATCAATCACATAGTATAGGAAAATTAATGGATACACGAAAAATTACACAATAAAAGCAAATTAAAATAGATTTCAGAATTAAACAATTTTTTTATCCAACTTACCTTAAATATTTTAGTAATCGTTATCGGTAAGTAGCATATTAGAAATGACAAAAATATAACCAGAATCATCCTTAATAATTTCTTATCCTTAGCAGACATTTTTCCTGGATGTCTCAATGATGAAGTTGATGTCGTTATGATGGATCGTCTTTCTGGAGCATTTGGTCTGCAAAATTAAAAATATATTTGATAAACTTATGCAAAATGATTTATGGACCGTATAACAAACCAACGTTATGGCAAGGCTATGCTATGAAAAACTTTCCATACTAAATATTGACAAAAGCCATGTGGTTGTGCAGTCAGGCGTTTTTCTCAGGTCTTCAAATAGAAAACCTAACCTAGAAACCGCACGAGAGTCAAAAAAAAAAAAGATGTTAGATAACAGGGTCTTTCTGACTCAGTTTCATAACATACGTTGCAGTTTATTTGTGAAACGCCTAAATGCACAGCAAATGCATGACATTTTGACAGTATTCAGTATGATTCAGTATGAAAGTTGGGCGTAACATGACCTTGCCATAACAATGATCTGTTGTACAGCATAACTTATATAATATTTATCTCACCTTAAGTATCTTTTGCTTTTTCGTAAAACTGCAGGAACCGAAGCAAAACTTCTTTCAGACCTTGGCGAACCGTAGCTTTTCTGAGATTGGAATTTGCGAATGTTTTGGTTTGCAATTTTTGGTGGTGCTGGTGGTTCTTCATTGCTGTAATAATTGACATCAATAGTTAGCACTAGTTCTACTAATTTTTGTAGTTTTTTCTACTAACTTTTGGTCATTCATCTCGTCCTGGTCTACAGAGCTTTCAATCCCTGATGAGCTCTCCTGTTCCCTCTGATTGTGATTGTGATTGTAAATATTGCTATCGGCAATCGGTGATAGAAGATGAGGATCCGGTAAACTTACTGTTGACATTTTACTTATCGCACCTGGTACAAAATAAATACATGTTGGAATTTACTTTTATCAATAGTAACTTTATTGCTACAGGACAAACATGTCTGGTAGACAGAATTCGCTTCAGTGCCCTCAAATTGTGATGCAAGATTTTTAACCAAGAATTATTAGAAGGCAACCTGGTGGTTGTCCATTGAAAGTTGAAACCATTCTTCTTAGAAAAATTTTTCTAACGATTTTTGTATCTAAAATAATACCTATTAGATGATCCGATAGACGTTGTCCTGTATCCATGTCTACAATTTTTTAATATAATATACTAATATTTACCGTTTACCTAAAAACAATAATTATTGTTTTTGAAATTACTCTTCACGCCAAAATGCATATACATTCATAAGATGAGCGATGTTAAATGTAGAACTGTTTTAAATAAAATGATGAATCTCAATTCCCACATTATATTAGAAATTGAAGTCTTTTAAACAATATAAAATAACCATAACCATAACATTACAAGGTACTTCATGTTGGATTAAATTAATTTAATTTTTTATTATTTAAGATATCGAAAATTGCATCTTAAACTTCTCCTAATCGATATCGTGAGGGCCGTATTGTATGTATTCATCTCTACTTTCCCATTTGCTGTTATAAAGTGAAATTTTTACGAATTTCAAAGATATTATGGCAAGATTAATAAAACATGCAAAGAAATTATATATTGAAAAAAAAAACTATATTGAAAATTTAATATCCGGATCTTGTGTTGGCGCCCCCTAAGGCGTGCGCTCGTATTTTAAGCATGCATCGCATTAAAGGTAGGACCGGCCCTGATTAATACTTAATTTCATATTTTAAGTGAATTAATTTGTCATATCCTGTTCATATGTGTATCATTCAATCTGCCATCATATACTGTTTCTTATATTATTTTAATTTCTGGCACATCTCAGCTGCTTTTAGGCAATAATAATGTTGACATTTCATTTTTCTTAATCATAATCATAAATTTATTATACATATTCTAATATTGTCTAGGTTCATAAGTAAATTGAAATGTTTAGCAGATGATGGTTTTCATTTGTTTTCAATGCAAACAATGACATGTCGTTTTTTGCATTTTTCCCATTTATTTCTTCAATATTGCACACACGTCTCAGTACTTTATAATCACATACATCCTAGAAAATTTCCTTAACAAACGTCAGAAAGATTTTTCAAAATCAGAATGATCGTTTAGGAGAAGTATACAGTGAGTGCTTGTAATTTAATATAAACCTTATATAATAGCAAAAAAGCTCAAATTGATTCTACATTTTAGTTAGAAAACGTTTGTATGAGAAAAAAGGGCTGTTTTTAGGGGTTTCCCGGCAATTATTTGATTTATATATTAGCAATAAAGCTCAAATTGATTCTACGTTTTAGTTAGAAAACGTTTGTATGAGGGAAAGAAAAGGACTGTTTTTAGGGGTTTTCCGGCGATTTTTTCTCGCCGTAAGAACTATCCTTGGACTTGAACGAACATTTAAAAAAAATAATTGGCCAAATCGGTTTAGGCGTTGTTGAGTTATGCGCTTACCAACACATTTTGCGATTCATTTTTATATATATAGGTCTATTATCTTACCTATGGGTGCTCCTCCATCCCTTTGCATGTCATAACCCCCATATCCATTCTGCTGCAAAGAATAGCTGATTTTGTTCCCTCCATCCTCGATTTTGACATTTTCATAAGTCTCTTGAGGAGCAACTAATTCGTAACCTCCAAAATGGTGGTTGTGGGTTTCTTCATTTTGGAACCCCATTTGGCCAACTCCGTTATCCGGGGTTGCTGGGTAAATGGCGCTCGGGTTGTGCTCCCCTGCGTCAGATTCATAGGCTGATGACCGATCTGATTATAATCATGGTAATATATATTTCTAGATTGAAAATTGCATAAAATATGAAGAAAAGTGAAGATTAGGCTTATTTCAATGCTCATGATACTGAGAAAAGATAAGAAAGCCATTTTACCTAAGACCTACATACTTTTTTATATAATTTTTTTTCCCCAAGAGCTACAACACATTGTTAACTTCCCCATAGATAAGTAAGCCAAGAACTCCGATTAGATTGTTTTATATTTGTTTGACGTTTTATATCATTCTGAATTGTTAATTTCCCGTAGGGTAAGTTATAGTAATCGCAAAAAAATCGAAAATGAAAATTTTTATATATCTTTACGTTTCAAAGGTTTCTGAACATTTTGGCATACCATAGAAAAAATTGATGTATGTGTGTGTGTGTGTGCGTGTATGTATGTGTGTGCGGATACAAATTTTCGTCGACGATTTCGGGAACACGGATGAAGCAATTTGAATAATTTAAAAAGCATTCGATTCGTATTGATAAGGAGACGTGCTGATTAGTTTTTGGCGGAGGTAGGTCTAGCCGTTCCGAAGATATGGGGCAAAAAAAGCCAAAAACGGTACCTCAGTTTTTAATAGAACGGAGCGTCCGAATTTAATAATTCAAAAAACATTTTACTTGTATTGTCTAGCGGTTTCGGAGATCTAACGAAAAAAGTAAAAAAAAATGCCATTTGGCGGTCAAAAATGATCATTAGACATATGCACATCAAATTATCAGATATTTTATAGAGATTTTAACAATAAGTATAAATTTTGTTTACATTCCTATGGGTTCCGTACCAATGTTTATCCGTTAGACAGCGACGCGGCGCTTATGCGCTTTATATTTAGTCTCTATGCAGTTAAAGCAGTACGATTGCTTTGAAAAAAAAGTTCAGATCTTCCAAAAATATGTCAAAATAAAGAAAACATTTTTTTTTTAAAAATATTTTTTTTCTAAATTTTTTCTTTTTTAAAAAAAATTTTAATTTTTTGTCCAATTTATAGTTTCTTAAAAATCTAATTTTTTCGAAGTAAAATTTTTTAAAAATGTTAATCGTTAATAAATTTTTGGTACGGGAAGTTCCAGCAATTTGCCTTAAGGCACGATGCTTTAATTGCCTTAAGACAGAGTTCCACTTACAGCTAGTTTGACACTAAAATTGGGGAAAGTATGTATGTGTTAATACACCAAAACTTGATCATTCGTCGATATTTTCTTAAAAACGGCTGCACCGATTTCAAAAATTTAAAGCAATTTGATGGAAGTTAAAGAAAGACTAAGGTAAGTTTACTCATATTTTAAACTCATACACATTTATAAAGTTGTTTCAAATAATGCAAAATCTCGACGTCAACAATATTGACACATTAGTTGATCTTATAATTCAGTTATATATCAACGGAAAGGCTGGCTTCAATTTGGCTTTTAGTAATTCTTAGTTATAGAAATATATTTTTAATTTAATTACTATTTTTTAACTTCCCGTAGGCATTTATCGACGTTTTGAAGGTTTCTGAACATTTTGGCATACCTCAGAAAAAATGAATGTGTGTGTGTGCCTGTGTTTTGTATGTCCGCATTTTTTCGTCCACGTTTTCGCGCGCACCGATCAACCGATTTTTGAATGGTTTCAATGGAAAAACATTCGATTCCTATTAATAGGGAGATGTGCTGATTAGTTTTTGGCAAAGGCAGGTCCAGCCTTACGGAGATATGGAGCAAAGAGTGCAAAAAATACAAATCGAGTTTTTCAGAGAACGGATCATATGATTTGTAGATCCAAAAAAACATTCAGTTCGCAATGACGGAAAAAAGTTGTTATTAGTTTTTGGCAAAGGTAGGCCCAGCGGTTTCGGAGATACAGAGCTAAATGTTAAAAAATGGCAGTTTTTGAGAGAACTAAGCGTCCGATTTAATTGATTCAAAGAACTTTCTGCTTGTTTCAATAAAATAATTGCTTTTGGAAAAAAAATGTTTCTATTTTTTTTTTCAAAAAATATTTTTGTAATTTTGGATTAAAAATTCAAAAAATTACCGAGACTAAGCACAGTCTAAGCGCCACTCTGGTGCAAATGTTTACCCAAGTGCGTTTAGACTGTTTAGGTACTGGAGCACTTTTCCAATTTTGTGAAAATTATTGAAAAATGTGAAAATGCCGCCAAGCTAAGCACAGTATAAGTGAAAATGTCGAACAGAATTATTTGCAAATGCGTTTAGACTGTGACTATACGGCAGTACTTTTTCAATTTTGTGTAAACTATTGTGGCAACTATTTTTTTTTTTTTTAAATTGAATTCGTAATAAAATGACGATTGTTAATGTTCTGGAGATAAATTGATTTCAATATTTGAACTATAATTATCTTTTTTTTAGAGTATACAATATATTTGTGGAAATAAATTAATGTAAGTCGTATTGCACATATTTAGCTATAAAATAGTATATATAGTAACTAAAATGTATTTATAGCTTCAAATTTTCATATAAAATAGTATGAAAGTGCATTGACTGTTATTTATTCTACACTAGCAAACCGGGCGAACTCCGTTTCACCACCAGATGGTTTCATTTTATGTAACATTTCGTTTGGTGATTAAAAGATGAAGGAAAAAATTGCCTGCTGTTGAAATTGAATAAAAATTTGCACAATACAGGTGATTGATTTGATGGTTTCCAATTGAAATGTTAGGAAACGAATATTTATGATTTACATTTGATTTGCTCAGACATAACAATATAGCAAAAATAATGAAAGTTACAGTATTTTTAATAATATATTTGAAAACGTTTAAGATTTCACTCATATTTCGTTACTGTACGGAAAGTTCCAGCAATTTGCCTTAAGGCACCACTAGTTCAGTTTCTATCATCAAGTAAGGACTATTTTACAAATTTTATCTAACTATTATCTTTTACCTCTTTTCAGAGGAGCGGTTTCAGCCCTCCGAATGACCGACTGCTGCCTCGCCCCCCAGCCCTGAGTCGCCCTGCTGCTGGGCCCTCATTGCAGCCCTTCGTACAATACAGAAAATTCTTGCATAACACACGATGATGCTGATACAAGGTACCACAAAAGCTGTCACGAATAAAAATTCCTTAGGTGACCTACCGTCTTCACCTGAGAAAATGAAAATTTGCGGTAAGGTAAGTGGAAATTGTAAATTTTAACAATCTAGGAAAATTGTAATGATGGACATGTTGGAGATTTACTTCTCCTGAGATCATGAAAATTTAAAGTAAGGTAAGTGAATATTGTGATTTTTTACATTCTAAGAAAATTGTAATGATTGTAGTTAGATCGAATCAATAATGGTCAAATGCTCTATCAAGTCCATTTGAATATTTTATGGGTTTAACTATTTTTTTTTAAATCTTGTTTAAAAATTTGAAGTGAACGTGTTAAGATACTGAAATATTTGTCTGATCATAAAGCTATGAAAAAAAAGCTTAGGCTTTCATATTTCAAAACTTTTACAAGACAAAGAATTTTAGGGAATTTTTTTGAATACTTTATACTATTGTCAAATGATAAAAAAACGTGGAATTTTATACATTATTTCTAGTATTTCACATGGCACATTATAATTTGATTCAAATAATTCATAATAGACGACTTTTACAAACTGCGAGAATTTTGAGTAAATTGAATTTGAATTTAAAAATATGAAAATTATCGCAGTTTGTAAAAGTTGTCTATTATGAATTGTTTGAACCAAATTATTATGCGATATGTAAAATACAACAACTAATTTAAAATATTCCGCGTTTTTTATCGTATCATAATTTTCAATTAGTAATTTTGACAACAGTACAAATTACACAAAATAAATCCTTAAAATTTGTATAGTCATGTAAAAGTCTGGAAATATGGAAGCCTAAGCTTTTTTTTGATAGTTTTCTTATATTAAGATGAGATAATTTTGATTCAATGTGGGTGATATATATGAGTTTTATATATTATATAGTTTTATGTATTATACTCTCACAAAATCATAAAAAATTTGCAAGACATTTTATCTTAATCAAAATAATTTATAATAAATACATGTGACAAATGAAAAGGAAAAAAATCAACATTTTTTTTAATCTTATTTTTTGTCTATTTCATTATACAACAATATCTTAGAATATCTATTCAATCTTCAATTTCTTTATAATATTTCTTTATTTTACTTTTGAAATTATTGTCGTCATTGGTATTCTTGATATTGACTGGAAGTTCATTATACACAAAAAAACACATAGGAATTAGCTACTATCCTAATTAGTTATTAGATTTTCTCTTAAAAGAAAGAATTACAGAATCAAAGTGTGCGTTTATAATGCAATGTCATGTTCCAAAGGTAATCGAGGGTCGACCAGGATATATAAACTTAAAAAAAACTAAAAACCTTCAGTGAGCTATTTTATTTGTCCGAATACTGTCGGTAAGTCAGTCAAAACAATAGCGCCTCGTTAGTGGGTCTCTTAATATGTTAAGTGCTAGTCGCAGAGCTTCGTTTTGTGTAGTCTGTAGTCTCCGTCGGTTAGTCTTTGTTGTCTCGTTCTATGGGGCTTACAACAGTATTGGTTGTATTAGTTCAGGGGGCGACCATTAATAGCGAGAGCGAGTTTTCAAGGATTTTTGGACCCCCCTCCCTCTTGGTGATACATGGTGATCTTTCAAATTAACCCCCCCTTCCCCCGTCCAATATTACGTGTATTTTTATTTACGTGATAAAACTGCAATTTTTTTTATTAACTAGCTGTAAGTGGAATTCTGTCTTAAGGCAATTAAGGCATCGTGCCTCAAGGCAAATTGCTGGAACTTCCCGTACCAAAAATTATTATTTTTTTAAAAACGATTAACATTTTTGAAAAAAATTTACTTCGAAAAAATAAGATTTTTGACAAACAATTAGACAAAAATTACTTTTTTTTGAAAAAGAAAAATTTTTTTTTAATTTTTTTTTTTAATTTTTTTTTTTGGAAAAAAATGTTTTCTTTATTTTGACATATTTTGAAAGATCTAAACTTTTTTTCAAAGCAATCGTACTGCTTTAACTGCATAAAGACGAAGTATCAAACCGCGTAAGCGCCGCGTCGACGTCTAACGCGTAAACATTGGTACGGAACCCATAGGAATGTAAGCCAAAATTATACTTATTGTTAAAATCTCTATAAAATATCTCATAATTTGATGTGCATATGTCTAATGATCATTTTTGACCGCCAAATGGCATTTTTTTTTACTTTTTTCATTAGATCTCCGAGACCGCTGGACCTGCCTTCATGAAAATTTGATCGGTTCTTCACCTTATCAATACAAGTAAAATGTTTTTTGAATTATTAAAATCGGACGCTCCGTTCTCTTAAAAACTGAGTTACCGTTTTCGGCACTTTTTGCCCCGTATCTTTGGAACGGCTAGACCTGACTTCGCCAAAAACTAATCAGCACGTCTCCTTATCAATACGAATCGAATGTTTTTTGAATTATTCAAATCGGTTGATCCGTGTTCCCGAAATCGTCGACGAAAATTTGTATCCGCACATACATACACACACGTACATACATACATACATACATACATACATACATACATACATACACACACACACACACACACACACACACACACATACATCCATTTTTTCTAAGGTATGCCAAAATATTCAGAAACCTCTGAAACGTAAAGATATATAAAAATTTTCATTTTCGATTTTTTTGCAATTACTATAACTTACCCTACGGGAAGTTAAAAAAATATACTTATTGTTAAAATCTCTATAAAATATCTGATAATTTGATGTGCATATGTCTAAGGATAATTTTTAACCGCCGAATGGCATTATTTTTTACTTTTTTCATTAGATCTCCGAAACCGCTAGACCTGCCTCCATGAAAATTTGATCAATTCTACATCTTGTCAATACAAGTAAAATGTTTTTTGAATTATTCAAATCGGACGCTCCGTTCTCTTAAAAACGGAGGTACCGTTCTTGGCACTTTTTGCCCCGTATCTTCGGAACGGCTAGACCTGCCTTTGCCAAAAACTAATCAGCACGTCTCCTTATCAATACGAATCGAATGTTTTTTGAATTATTCAAATCGGTTGATCCGTGTTCCCAAAATCGTCGACGAAAATTTGTATCCGCACATACATACACACACATACATACATACATACATACATACATACATACATACATACATACATACATACACACACACACACACACACACACACATACATCCATTTTTTCTAAGGTATGCCAAAATGTTCAGAAGGTTTTGAAACGTCGAGAAATGCAAAAATTTTCATTTTCGATTTTTTTGCGATTACTATAACTTACCCTACGGGAAGTTAAAAAAAAAAACAGTTAAAAAATAAATACGATATCTTACTATACCCCTCCCTCCTCCACCTGATTTCGTGATTTTTTGTCAAACCTCTGCTCCGCCTAAAAACCTCACGTGATTAATGGACGCCCCCTTATGTTAATCGTTTTAAAATATAAATACTTTTTCTGAAATTTAAGATAATTTTTCGCTACTGTTAAATTATGGTTCCAAAGTGTATTTACTACAGTACTTTATACACCAATTTTTTATAAATTATCTATTTAAATCATACGAACTCCTTAAAAATAACAAAACAAATGTAAGTCGCAAGGCTTTGTTTTGTGTAGTCTGTAGTTTGCGTATGTTAGTCTTTATTGTCTCGTTTTATGGGGCTTACAACAGTATTGGTCGTGTTAGTTTATATTAAATGTTTTAAAATATAAATATTCTTTCTGAAATTTAAGATAATTTTTCTTTGTTTAATTATGGTTCCTGAGTGTATTTACTACAGTACTCTATACACCAATTTTTTTATAAATAATCTATTTAAATCATACGAAATCTTTAACAAGTCTTCTTCTCCTATAAAAGACTTCATTTTAGTGATATTTTTTACTTGTGAGGATCAATAAAATTAGGTTTTGAAGTCAAATTTGCAATTAATTATATTGGTATTATTGTTAATTTTGGAGACTGTAATTGTTTAAAATATGTTTAAAATTTTTGTTATAAATGTTCTTTAATTTGACAAAATTCTAATAATTTTTGTACAATCTAGATTATATCAATAATGTTTTCACTAATAATGATCTTTGTAAATGTTCTAAATTGGCCAAAATGTGCTATAATAATTCTTCAAGAAGAGCATTGAGATGTTATGGTTTATCTAATATATCTAATATTGTAATATTTACAATAATGATTAACAGGTAACAAGAAATGCAACAAATGACATCTGAAATTGTTGTTTATTGGCAGAATAATTACGTATGTTTCGACACTGTGTGTATCAGCATTCAGCATGTTCAATAATTTCTATTTTTTTTAAAAATTTTATGAAATATTTGTTAGAAATTGTTGAACATGCTGAATGAGGACTCACACACATTATTGAAATTCTTATATTTTGATTTTGATATATTGTTATTTATCTAACCTGGTAAAATAGAACATGATCCAACATGCGCATCTAATCCAAAGTGGCCCCAAATTCCAAAAAGTGTGGGCAACAATGCTCCGAATCCAAAGACCCACGTCCCACCCCACATCAGCGCCAGATTGCGATTTCTGTACAATCTAAAATCAAACAAGAATGCAACGCATTTTATATAAATAACACAATTAATTATATAAAATAAATATTATTGAACTTAGAGATAACAAAAATCAAATAATAAAATATATTTCATTTACCTCGGGTATGATCTCGGATGTCCTATCATGACGTATCTATTGACAGTTATGGCCAATACTGATAATAGGGATACTGCCAATAGGCCGTATCTGAGTAATGGGAATAAAACGCACATCGCTGTCCCATGATGCCACGCTCGTTCTCGGAATGTGCTGGCGGCCAAAGGTAAATTAAAGCAGCAAAAAAGTAAGTCGGATAGGGATAAATTCATTATGAAGACTGCTGTCGCATTTCGAACCTGGAAAAGGAAAAGGATAAGTGTTTTATCGTCTATTGTCACTATTTTTAACTTAGTAGTGGGCCGATAATCGATAATGAAAATTTTTGAATTTTTTGACGTTTTGTAGATTTCTGAACATTTTGGCATACCTCAGAAAAAATGGATGTGTGTGTGTGTTTTGTGTGTCCGCATTTTTTCGTCCACGGATCAACCGATTTGAATCGTTAAAAAAGCATTCGATTTCTATTGATAGGGAGATGTGGCGACTAGTTTTTGGCAAAGGCAGGTCCAGCCGGTACGGAGATACGGAGCAAAGAGTGCAGAAAATACAAATCGAGTTTTTGAGAGAACGGAGCATCCGATTTGAATGATCTAAAAAACATTCAATTTGTAATGATTGGGAGAAGAGGTGTTTAGTTTTTGGCAAAGACAGGTCCCGCCATTTCGAAGATACAGAGCTAAATGTGCAAAAAATTTCAGTTTTTGAGTGAATTAAGCATCCGATTTGAATGATACAAAAAACTTTCTGCTTGTATTGACAAAACAATTACTTTTGAGGATAAGAAATTATTACCATTACTTGTTTATCCATGATTATTACATCTTTTTTTATTTTTCATAAAAATTTTTTGTAATTTTGAATTAAAAATTCAAAAAATTACCCAGTCTAAGCACCGTCTAAGCGCCACTCTGGTACAAATGTTTACCCAAGTGCGTTTAGACTGCTTCTGTACTGGAGCACTTTTCGATTTGGTTCGATTGAAAAATGTGAAAATGCCGCCAATCTAAGCACAGTATAAGTGAAAACGTCGTACAGAATTATTTGCAAATGCGTTTAGACTGTGACTATACGGGAGCACTTTTTGAATTTTGTGTAAATTAGGCAACTATTTTTTTTTTTTGAAATTGAATTCGAAATGTAATGACCGATTGTTAATGTTGTGGAGATAAATTGATTTATGATTTACATTTGATTTGCTCAGATATAACAAGATAGCAAAAATAATGAAAGTTACAGTATTTGTAATAATATATTTGAAAACGTTTAAAATTTCTCGAATATTTTGTTACGGTACGGGAAGTTCCAACAATTTGCCTTAAGGCACGATGCCATTACGACGCTAGTTAAATCTTCACAATGTAGCCAAATTTGTGTATATATATTGCTTTATCACAAAAGACCTTTTCATATACGAGTTTATTTTGATTTTGGTACAAACATAGAATGTTTGTTGCAATAGATATGAAATTTATGATCGCCATATCTCATTTCGACATTGATTAATCGGGTTGCATCAAAATATTCTCTTTCGAGCAGATCCAACGGCAACAAGGTGATGAATAAATGACTAAAATAAATAAATTCAGGCGTAGCAAATGACGCCCCAAAATAATTTGTAAACTAGCTGTAAGTGGGATTCTGTTTTAAGGCAATTAGGGCATCGTGCCTTAAGGCAAATTGCTGGAACTTCCCGTACCAAAAATTATTATTTTTTTAAAAACGATTAACATTTTTGAAAAAAATTTACTTCGCAAAAATAAGATTTTTGAGAAACTATAAATTGAACAAAGAATTACTTTTTCTTGAAAAAAAAATTTTTTTTTTAAAAAAAAAAATCCTAAAAAAATTTTTTTTTTAATTTTTTTTTTCTGAAAAAAAATGTTTTCTTTATTTTGACATATTTTGAAAGATCTGAACTTTTTTTCAAAGCAATCGTACTGCTTTAACTGCATAGAGACAAAATATAAAGCGCGTAAGCGCCGCGTCGCTCTCTAACGGATAAACATTGGTACGGAACCCATAGGAATGTAAACAAAATTTATACTTATTGTTAAAATCTCTATAAAATATCTGATAATTTGATGTGCATATGTCTAATGATCATTTTTGACCGCGAAATGGCATTTTTTTTTACTTTTTTTGTTAGATCTCCGAAACCGCTAGACCTGCCCTCATGAAAATTTGATCAATTCTTTATCTTGTCAATACAAGTAAAATGTTTTTTGAATTATTAAAATCGGACGCTCCGTTCTCTTAAAAACTGAGTTACCGTTTTCGGCACTTTTTGCCCCGTATCTTTGGAACGGCTGGACCTGCCTTTGCCAAAAACTAATCAGCACGTCTCCTTATCAATACGAATCGAATGCTTTTTGAATTATTCAAATCGGTTGATCCGTGTTCCCGAAATCGTCGACGAAAATTTGTATCCGCACATACATACACACACGTACATACATACACACACACACACACACATACATCCATTTTTTCTAAGGTATGCCAAAATGTTCAGAAACCTCTGAAACGTAAAGATATATAAAAATTTTCAATTTCGATTTTTTTGCGATTACTATAACTTGCCCTACGGGAAGTTAATATATACAAAATATTGAATGGGACGGATAATATTTCAAGAGGTTAATTGATTTTTTGAAAATTATACTTTCGTGAATCCTCGTTTTTTTCATCGGACGCGCTCGGTTCTTTGTTTGCAAAGAATTCTGCATAAATCAATTTTTTATTTGTCATTTTATTTTTTAATCTATAATATAATTTAACAGTGTCGAAAGCGGGTCAGCTAGTATATATATATATATATATATATATATATATATATATATAATATATTAGCTGACCCGGCAAACGTCGTTTCATCATATAAGATATTTGTAAACAATTTTTAGAAAATCGAAAAAAATACTAATTTATTGTGAGTGTTCAAAGATGTATTATATTGTGTATATTTTTATATCAACACTTCAAAAATGTTGAAATTTTGAAGTTATAATAACACTTAAGATCCGTTCAATAATGTTTTTGTGTATAAATAAAACTACTATCCTATTAAATTTAGTTGAACATAATCTCTCAAAACCATTTGACATTTGACGTATGAGCCGCGCTCGATTGTTTCATTTTAAATTAGGCTTCTACAAAAAAATTAAATTGTAATAAAAATTGTAAGTGTATAAAGATGTATTGTATTGTGTGTATTTTTATATTAACATTTTAAAAATGTTGATTTTTTGAATTAGAAACTTAAGATCCGTTCAGTAATGTTTTTGTGTATAAATAAAATTATTATCCTATTAAATTTAGTTGAACATAATCTGTTAAAACCATTTGACATTTGACGTATGAGCCGCCCTTAATTGTTTTATTTTAAATTGGGCTTCTACAAAAAAAAAATTAATTAAAAATGAAAAGTTTTACGCGGTTTTAAAATCATTTTTACCTTCCCCACAATTTCTGGATTAGCACAAAGATTTCAAGACTAAAAGTGGCCAAATCGGTTCAGCTGTTTTCGAGTTTTAGCGAATCGAACGTAATAACGAGCTTAATTTTCACACACACACACTTATATATATATATATATACTAGCTGACCCGGCAAACGTTGTTACATCATATAATATATTTGTAAACAATTTCTAGAGAATCCAAAAAAATACTAATTTATTGTAAGTCTATAAAGATGTATTGTATTGTGTATATTTTTGTTTTTAATTTATACTGTAAGATTAAAGTTAGTTGAACACAATCTCTGGATTAGCACAAATATTTCAAGAGTAAAAGTGGCCAAATCGGTTCAGCCATGTTCGAGTTTTAGTTTTAGCGAATCTAACGTAATATCGAGACTAATTTTCATATATAAGATATATATATATATATATATATATATCTTATAATTCGAATACAAGTCGGAAAACTATCCAGAGAATTGCAAAACTGAAATTTTCCTCGACAATAAAATGTAATGTAAAGCAATACTGCTGGGAGCTATTGTACTCGACACAACATTTATATAAGACAGCATTTCTCGTCTCCTATTACATTTTAAGTGATAAAATAGATACTGCAATTGCATACTTTGAGAAAGCCGTTGAAATTGCTCAAATAAACTGTTATGGCTAAACTCTTAAAGGAACATTCGAGAGAAAACCAAGTAGTTTACCATTTAATTATATCTTATGAAAGATGGATAAAATTGGAGTATGTGCATCGGTAATGTGGATCCTATGTTATCGTAGAAAAATCTAAAACTTTTAGGAAACATCAAAAGAAACTACGAGAAAAAGGTTGCCTTTTTATTCTAAAAATATTACAATAGCCATACTGGAAGTTTTATAAATTTATTTACAAATCTTGAAGATGCACAGACAATTAAAAATAAAAATTCCTTATAATTATAGCAGTTTTTATAATAAAATTTTCTTATAACATAGCAGCCTAAATGTCGAATTACCAATAATAAATTAACATATAAAGTCATTTATTAACTTCCCGAAGGAAAAGTTTGTTTTCATCAAAAAATCCGATTCTCTAATTTTATGTTTTCTCGACGTTTCAAACCGTTCTGAATCGAATGAGACCAAATTTGAAAAAAATATGTGTGTGTGTTTGTGTGTGTGTGAACAGATTTTTTGCCGTAAATCGACGTTTTCTCGAAAACGGCTGGGCCGATTTCAAAAATTTAAAAGCCATTCGATGTATCTCGACGAGAACTTTTGTTTGTCTGTTCTGTGCGACTATCGGCCAAGCCGTTTCTTTATAAATCGCCGAAAAGTGAGAAATTTTTCGGCGGCTACGTTTTAGCCCGCAATTCTGAATCGATTTTGAAAATTCAAAAACCGTTCGAAAGATATTGATTGGGAATCGTGCTGATTAGTTTTTGGTAGAGATCGGCCGGGCCGTTTTCTTGTAATAAAGTTTAAAAAAAAAAAAAAATTCGACGATTTTTATGATTATTTTTTTGACGGTAGATACCATAGTCTTTTAGATCATACTAAAATATTACGGCTCTACGACAACTGGTTCAGCTTTAAAAATTCGTCAAAGTTTGCAAAAATTGGTACTGTGTTTTTGGCATTTGTCAAAATTAGACTTTTGATCGACGTTTTCTCAAAAACGCCTGAACCGATTTTAGAAATTTAATTTGATTTCTGAAATTTGTCAAACTTTGCTAATATTATTATCGTTTTTTTAAGTAGGATTGATGAAGTATATTATTTACACAT